TTGACTTTTTAGTTAGAAAGTGAAGCACACAATTTGAAACTTAATAGATCTTGACAATAGGTAAAGCGTATTTTCAGGATATTACTTAAGTTGGAGGTAATAAAGATATAATAAGTTTAAAATACTTTTTTGTGATCAAATCACGAGCCACATCCAGTGACCATATACATGAAAAATCCTTCAGGAGAATGAGAATAAGGAGCAGAAGATGCGCAAGCAAGAATAAGGAGAGATTGAAGTCAAAACGAAATCGACAAACAATTAGAAACAATTAGAATGAAATATATAACGATAAGTAGAATGAGAATCTACAACCATAATGAGACCGATGAGCACCGAGAATGTTAATGTATAAAGAGATCTAAAATGAAAACGACAATAATAAGTAGGGGGTAAACGAATCGAAACTACTAAAGAGTTCAAGAATGAGAACGACGATAAAACAAGATTGAGAACGTTGTAGGCACCGAAAATGAAAATGAGAACGTGGATTAAACTGTGGACGAAAAAGAGAATTAAGAATGATCTAGAAAACCAAATTTAGAAAGTTAAACCGAAATAAAGCGAAAACTAGGTTGATTCAAGCAAGAAAATAAAGTAGAAAAGAACAACCAGAACAAAAATGAAACCAATAAAACGACCGAGAATGAGAAAGAGTATAAAAATGAGGATGAGGGTGAAAATGAGAACTAGACCGAATCCGAAAATTTAAGGGAGAAATTACATCGAAAAGGAAAACGCAAGTGAGAATAATAAAATAAGAACTTTTAAAGACCGACAATGAAAGGAGAAACGAGAATGAGAACAATAAAAACATCGAGATGTGAAGGAATATGAAAAGGAGAATGAGAATCGGAAAGAAAACGACGTAAAGATCGACAATGCAAATGAAAACGTTATGGAAGAATGAAATCGAGAACAGAAACCCAGTAAGAATGATTTTTAAAACCAAAGTAACAATGAGAAGAGCCGAAATGAGAACTAGAGTGAATGAAGAAGGAAAACTAAAGTATGAACAAGGCAGAGAAGAACAAATGGAACGAGCATGAGAACAATAAAAAAGAGGAACAAAATTGGGATCGGAAAGGAAAACTAAATTGAGAACGATAAATAGGCACGAGAATTAAGGCGATAAAAACGGGGTAATGAGAGTGAGAACTATGAAGAAATCTGCAATGAGAATGAAAATAACAAGAATGAGAACGAGAATTAAATTGTGAAAGGAAAAGATATTAAGAATAGAATGCAAATGACAACTCTATGCAAACAAAAATTAAATCAAGAAGTGAAACACAAATGAGAATGATAAAGATGTAAAAACACCGAGAATGGAAGAGGAAATGAGAATGACAACATTAAAAACATCGTACAGGAACATAAAAACGAGAACGAGAATTTGAAAGAAAACGATGAATGAAACAATGAAACAATGGGAATGAAAAACACGACTAAAGTGTGAACGAGGAAGAAGACTTAAAATAGAATAAAAATGAAAAGATTATGGAGAAAACGCATATGAGAACTAGAATGAAATTGAAAAGGAAAACTCATGTGAAAGCAAGGTAGAGAAGAACAAACAGAATGAGAATGTGAACTAGGAAAAGACTGGACATGTAGGTAAATGAGGACCAGGACTAAAATAAATATCAACCAAAATGATAACTAAAGGAATATAATAAAAAGAGAATGCTATGGAATCGAGAGAGGCAACTAGAATGAAAATGAAACGGAAAACCAAAATTAGAATCAAAAAGGGAACCAAAATAAGAACAAAAGTGAAATTGAAAAGGAATACTAGAATGAGAAAGATAAATTGACGAAAAATCAGCACGAGAATGAAGACGATGAAAAGAGAGATAAAGAGAATGAAAACTATAAAGAGATATAAAATGAAACGAAAATAACAAGTAGGGGGGAAACGTACGTAAAAGAGACCACTAAGGAGAACAAGAATGAGAACGCTATAGAGACCGAAAATGGGAACGACGAGGACTGAACTGTGAATGCAACATTGAATTAGGAATAAAATAAAAAATACAAGGAAATACGAGGAGAAAACCTAAAATGAGAATGATATAAAAACCAAAATTGGAACGAAAAGGAAAACTAGTGTGATAACAAGATAGAGAAGAATAAATAAGACAAAAATATAAGCCGTTTAAACTACCAAGAATGACACTAAAATGAAAATGAAAACATTGTGAACTCTATGGGAACAAAAATTAAATTCTGGAGGGAACCACAACTAAGAATGATAAAATAAGAACTAATTAAAGACCGAGAATGAGAGGGACAACGAGAATGAGAACAATAAAAACATCGAAACGATCCTTCGCGAACAAATAGAACAAAAATGAGAGAATAAAACGACTACGAATAGAAAGAATATGAAAATGAGAATGAAAACTATGTGGAGTCCTAAAATAAAAATGTGAATGCTATGGAAGCAAAAAGGAAGGGAAACGCAAATGAGAATGATATAATGATAATGATATTAAAATACCAAGAATGGGAGGGAAAACGAAAATGAGAACATTAAAGGCATTACGACATAGTATATGAAAGAAAACAACATAAAAACAACATAAAAACCGACAATGGAAATGAGAACCACGACTAAAGTGTGAACGAGGAAGAAAAGTGAAAATAGAGTGAAAATGGAAACAAAAACTCAAACGAGAATGACTTGAAAAACCAAAGTGAGAACGAAGGGAGCCGAAATGAGAACTAAAGTTAAATGAATAAAAGAACCTAGAATGAGAGCAAACAGAATGAGAAAGAGAGCGAAAAAAAAACGAGAATGTGAACTAGAATCAGAATGATACGGAATAGTAGAATTAGAATGGAAACAATACTTTAGCCAAGAATGAGCACAAGAATGAGAACGCTGTAGAGACCGAAAGTGGGAATGAGAACTATAAGGATTAAATTCTGAACGAAAAAGAAAATTAGGAATGAAATAAAAATTACAACGCAAAAACCAAGAACGACATCAGGGGAAACTAAAATGAAAATGAAACACAAAACCAAGTTGTAACGAAAAGGAGTGAAATAGAAAAGGAGAGTTAGACTGATAACAAGGTAGAGAAAGAACAGATGGAACAAAAACGGGAGCAATAAAACGACCGAGAGTAAGAAAGAGTATAAAAATGGGAATGACAAACTGACAGCAACCGAGAATGAGAACTAGGCAAAGTCCAAAAAAGAAAATGAGAAAAAAATGACAACCATAAGGAAGCAAAAATGAATTCGAGTGGAAAAACTCGAAGGAGAACTATAGAGTGCGATCTATTAAAAAAGAGAGAATGAAAGGAGAACCGAGAATGGCAATCTGAAAGGAAACGACGTAAATACGGCCAGTGGAAATAAGAACTGCGACTAAAGTGTGAACGAGGAAGGGAACTTAAACTAGAATCAAAATGTAAACGTTATGGAACGAATGACTTGAAGAAACGAAATGAGAACAAGAGGAACCAGAATGACAACTAGAGTGAAATCGTGAGAAAAGTAGAGGAGAACAAATAGAATCAGAATGAGAGCAATAAAACGGCCGAGAATGAGAACTACGGAGCTTAAAAATAAGAATGATAGAATGAGATATGTTAAAGACCGAGAATGAAAAGGGAAACGTGAATGAGAATCTCAAAGAAAACGACGTAAAGACGGGAGAACCGCGACGAAAGTGTGAACGAGGAAGTGAATTGGAGAAAGAAATAATATATGAACGAAAAAGGTAACGAAAGATATCTCGAAAATGAGAACACTATGAAATCGAGAGGCGAAAGTATCATATAACGAGAATGCTATTAAAATCCAAAATTAGATTGAAGAGGAGAGCCAGAATTGATACAAAGGTGAGATCGTAAAAGAAAACTAGAAGAGAACGACAAATTGGCCGAGAATGAGCGCAACAGTGAGGATCGAGAATGAGTAACTACAAAGAAACGTAAAATGAAAACGAAAGTGATAAGTGGAAGGAAAGCAATAATGAGAACAATAAATAAATCAAGAACGTGAAGGAATACGAAAACAAAAATCAGAACCTAAAAGGAAAAAAACAATAAGAACAATATAGAGATGGAAAATAGGAATGGAAAGGAGGACCAAGTGTAAACCAAAGAGGCAACCACTAAAGAAATAAAGTTTCCAAATTTCAAACAAGAATAATAAAAAATCAGAGTTAAAACGAGAAAAGGAGAGTCAGAAGGAGAACCAGAATGACATCGAAAAGAGAAACTAGAACAAAAACAACGTAGACAAGAACAAGTAGAATAAGAATGACAGCGATAAAAAACTGAGAATGAGACCATTGAGGATAAGTGTCTAAGATGGAACGAGAAACAGAACTACGAACAAAACGAAAATGAGAACGCTATGAAACCATGAATGAATTCTAGAAACGAACCGAAAATGACGATATAGAGAAACTGACTTCTAGAGGAAGATAGCTAGAAAAAGGACTAAAACAATGTAGAAAAGATCAAATAGAACAAGAATGAATCTACAAAGAAACCTGATCTGACCCGTTTTAGGATCTTGAAACTATTTCTCTGGCGTCTATACAGGGTGTCACTAAGCGCGCATTTCTCGATATCTCATTAATTATTAGAAATAGAAACAATAGTCAAACACCAAAGTTGTACGGTTCTTTGAGGACTATACTCTACAATTATTTTTAACTATACAGAGTATTCTGTTTTTAGGCGTAACACACAACTTAGTTTTTTTTAATGAAACACCCTATATATTTTTAGACATCCCGATTAATTCCTTTCTAGGCTATGTTTATTTACATACTCACTTATCCAAAGTGGTTTGAAAGATGAAAATCTGATCAGCTACTAATCTCTGCAGATTTTTTGTTTTTTTTTTTTAGTTAACAGACAATAAATCTCACACGTGTGCGACGTTTAGTTATTGTGTACACACTATATGTATACATTTACATGATAAATGGCTCCATTTGTCAACTCTTCTGTATTCTGTCGTTTTTGTTGCAGCTGGCTCCAAAGAGGCTCCATGTTCGTCCTATCTCTGCAACAGTTCCTCAAACTAATGAAAGTCAACGAAAAATGGCACAAAGGGTCCCTCCTCGATCTCGGTGCCGGCGACGGCGAAGTCACCGCTCACCTTTCGGCCCTTTTCGACAAAACCTACGTCACCGAGGTTTCCACCACTATGAGAAACCTCCTCCAGAACCGCGGCTACAAGTACATTTTTCCTCCCTTTTTTTTCTTAGATGTTTCGACCGCGATAAAACGTCTTCACAGATTGAATAATGTAATTTTGTTGCATCCGCGATAATGTTTAATTGCTCGACCCTGGCAATATAGCAATTGGATGATGGGTATAGCCGGTATCTCGAGTAATTAAAGTCATTCCATGTCAGATTGTTAATTGAGTTCTCGATGCAGTAAAACTTCCCTCATAAAACTAAGTGCAGAGTTAATTAAGACTTACTTTAACAGATTGGGACAAGGAGAACTCTCTTGTGTACAATTTAAGTTTACGAGGGCCGATCAAGATTTACTCCGTTAATTAGGAGGCCATCACCTGCGATGCTGTACGGTTGGCACGCACTGCGATGTAAATATTTGATATGAGAATGAAATTTTTGCGAGGCGATTGTAGTTTTTTAAAAATAACGTTGTGTCGGATGTCGCCATGTAGTTAATAAAAGACGGAAAGCTGCAGCGGTTATAAATGGTAATAACACGAAACATATTTGGACGACTCTGCAGCGACCAGAAACATTTGCATTAAATTTAATTACTCTGGATTTAACGACCGCATCTTAACCCGAACAATGGCGACATTTTTATTGCTTTCGAATTATTATCATTGCCAACCGTACCGGCAGGTGCCCATCCTCATTAACCGCAACAATAATAATAAGCAACCTTGTTGCATGTTCAACAATATGGGTTATGGCAAGTCTACATAATTTCTGACTTTTTTAAATGAGATGGTGTGTCCTGACCCGGGGTAATATCTTTATAATGAGCAAATTTAAAACTTCAAGACACCCAGCAATGGTTGTTATTTACGACGTTCCAGCGCTACTGACACGACGTTTTACAAGTTCGAACTGCTGCAAAATTTTTTATAACTATGAACTATTGATTTTGTGTTAATTTGGTGCGCGATTACGGCTAATCCGATTGCCAAATTAACTTTGATTTAGTATAGTGAATGCCACTTTACTGTGTACACAATATAACATGTTACTAGTGCGCATGCCCAAAGCTCGCACACTCTAAAATCTATCAGTTCTATATGTCAACCACGTACAGATTTTGCTACATTTGATTAAATTCTATCCACTCTAGGTTTTATATTCTTCAATTTGTCATAACTTTGAAAGAAAATACAAGACAGTTTGAAATTTATTCTTAAAACGTCCGTCATGTATAAAAGTCAATCTAAACAAAGAATTATTTATTGCAATCCTTATTTCAATAAAACAGTTATCACTTTTTTGACATCACCTCTCAATTATTTTTTATCTGAATGTTTTGTTTTTTACCTTTTTTACATATTTTTACGTTTTACAATTTACATATTTTTCAAATACTAATTAATATTAAAAACAAGCAGCGTTTGGCGAAAGCTTTACAAAGAAAATACCAAGATTTAGTAGTAATTCCGTTATTACAACTTCGGATAGTGGAATCGACAAGGAAAACTTGGGAAGGTAGAAAAAACAAATAAAATAAGACCGACAAATGAGAGTAAACAGGGAGAATGAAAAGCTTTGAAAACAAAAATGGAAACTAGAAAAGAAACACAAATAAAAATAAGAACAATAAAGAAATCGACATGTGATAGAATGTTAAGGGAGAATGAGAACCGGAAAGACAACCAGAATGAGAACTATCACATATAGAACATGGAATGAAACCCAGGACTAAAATGTGAACGCTATGAAACCAAAAATAAAATTCACAACGGAAACTAAAATGAAAATAATATGGAAAACTACAGGAGAGCCAGATAAGAGTCAGAGTGAAGTCGAAAAGGAAAACTATACTGACTATCAAAAAAACCGACCACTCTGAAATATTTTGCAAAACCATTTTAAAAATTATTAATTTAACTAGATTGTTATTTCATTAAAGAACCATTTACTGGTGGACAGAAGATGTACAAATTAGCTAAAAACGAGACATTTCAAAATAGAATTAAATTTAATTTAAGAAAATAACAAAAACAGTGTAATACTTGAGGGTGGTCGGTTTTTTGCGAGTCAGTGTAGAATGAGAACAAAGTAAAGAAGAACAAGTTGAAAAAAGGAGTGAGAAACGAGAATGAATATAATAAAATGAGAATGAGAACTACGAAAAGTCCGAAAATGAAACTGATATAATGAAGGCTGTAACAAGACTGAGAATATGAGGAAACGAGACAGAGAGCAATCAAGAAAACGACATGTGAAAGAATATGAAAACGAGAATGGAAATATGAAAGGAAACGAGAATGAGAACGACTACCAAAATGTGTACAGAGAAGAGAACATGAAATAGAATGAAAATAAGAACCCTATAGAACCAAGAATGAAGTGAAGAACGGAAATGAGAACCATAGTGAAATCGAAAAGAAGAAGAATTAGATTGAGAGAAAGATAGTTAAGAACAATTAGAACAGGAATTAGAACGATTAATAGAGTGAGAAACGAGAATGAGAGCAATAAAATAACCAAGAATGAGAAGGCTCGAAAAAATGAAAATGAGAATTACGAAGAGTCCGAAAATAAAAATGAGAACGCTTTACGAGTAGAAGCAAGAAAGAAATTGATAAGGAAAACGCAAATAAAAATGTTAGAATGAGAGCTATAAAAAGATTAACAATGTGAGAATGAAATGAGAAAGAGAGCAATAAAGAGATCGAGATGTGAAAAACAATGAAAACCAGAATAAGAAACTGAAAGGGAATGAGAATGAGAACCTTGTAGAGACCAACAATGGAACTAAGAATCATAACCAAAGTGTGTACAAGGAAGAGAACTTAAAATAGAGTAGAAATGAGAACTCTAGAAACCAAAAATGAAATCGAGAACGGAAATGTAAATAAGCAAGCTTTATGACACCAAAGAGTGACCGAAAGGAAGAGGGGTAGAATGAGAGCCAGAGTGTGATCTAAAAGAACAATAATATAATTAGAATAAGAATTAGGACGATGAAAACAGTGAGAAAGAAGAATGAGAACAATAAAGGAGAGTGAGAGCTACGAAGAGTCCAAAAATGAATATGAGAACGCTATACGAGTGAAAGTAAGGAAGGAATCGGGAAGGAAAACGCCAATGAAAATGATGCTAGCTATAAAAAAAACGTAAGAATGTGCAGAGGAAGCGGGAAAGAGAGCAATGGAAAAAGACCGAAATATGAAAGAATACGGTAATAAGAATGAAAACCTAAAAAGAAACGAGAATAAGAACCATATAGAAACCAAAAATGGAAATGAGAACCACGAACAAAGCGTGTACAAGGCAGAGAACTTAAAGCAGAACGAAAATGAGAACAATTTAGGACACCAAAGATAGAATAAACGGGAGAAGGGGGGCAGAATGCAAACCACAGTGAAATTGAAAAAAAGAACCAGATTGAGAACAAGATAGTGAAGAACAATTAGAACAAGAATTCGGAAGAATAATAATTAGAATAAAATAACCAAGAATGAGAAAGATCGGAAAAATGAAAATGAGAATTACGAAGAGGCCGAAAATGAATATTTACGAGTGAAAGCAAGAAAGAAATTGACAAGGAAAACGCGAATAAAAATGTTAGAATGAGAACTATAAAAAAATTAACAATATGAGGAAGAAATGAGAAAGAGGGCAATAAAGAGATCGAGATGTGAAAAACTATGAAAACCAGAATAAGAAACTGAAAGGAAACTAGAATAGGAACCGTGTAGAGACCAACAATGGAAATAAGAACCACAACCAAAGTGTGTGCAATGAAGAGAACTGGAAATAGAGTGGAAATGAGGAAGATTTGGGACACCAAAGAGTGAACGAAAGGAAGAGGGCAGAACGAGAACCTGAGTGTGATCTAAAAGAAGGACTAAATTGAGAACAAGATAGAGAACAAGAATTAGGACGATGAAAAGAGTGAGAAAGGAGAAAGGAAAATGAGAACAATAAAGTGACTAAGAGTGAGAAGGATTATGAAAAGGAAAGTGAGAGCTACAAAGAGTCCAAAAATGAAAATGAGAACACTATACGAGTGGAAACAAGAAAGAAATCGAGAAAGAAAACGCAAATGCAAATGATGCTAGCTATAAAAAAGCTAAAAATGTGAAGAGAAAACGAGAAAGAGAGCAATGAAAAAAGACCGAAATATGAAAAAATATGATAACGAAAATGAAAACCTTACAGAAAACGAGAATGAGAACCATATAAACACCAACAGTGGGAATGAGAATCACGAACAAAGTGTGTACAACAAGGCAGAGAACTTGAAGTAGAATGAAACTGAAAACGCTATAGAACGAAGAATGAAGTGTAGAACGGAAAATTCAAATGAGAAGTAGAGTGAAATCGGAAAGGAGAAAAACGGAAATGAGGACAATAAAGTAATCGAGAATGAGAAGGGTTATGAAATTGAGAATAAGAGTTACGAAAAATCCAAAAATGAAAATTTTAAGGCTATAAAAGATGATGGACGCGAAAAAGAGAACAATAAAGAAATCGAAATGTGGAAAAATTTGAAAACGAGAATGAGAAAATGAAAATGCGAATCATGTCGAGATCGGCAATGGAAATGAGAATCACCACTAATGTGAATACAAGGATGAAAACTTGGAGTAACATGAGAACGCTATAGAATCAAGAATGAAGTCGAGAACGGAAATGCAACTGAGAACAATTTAGGACACCAAAGATAGAACGAGAGGGAGGAGGGGAGCAGAATGTGAACCATAGTAAAACCGAAAAGAAGAGCTAGATTGAGAGCAAGTTAGGGAAAAACAATTAGAACAAGAATTAGGACGATTAATAGAGTGAGAAACAAGAATGAAGGCAATAAAATAACCAAGAATGAGAAGGATGGTAAAAATGAAAATGAGAATCTCGAAGTGTCTGAAAATGAAAATGAGAACGCTTTACGAGTGGAACCAAGAAAGAAATTGACAAGAAAAACGCAAATAAAAATGTTAGAATGAGAGCTATAAAAAGATTAACAATCTGATAAGGAAATGAGAAAGAGAGCAATAAAGAGATCGAGATGTGAAAAAATATGAAAAGCAGAATATGAAACTGAAAGGAAACGAGAATGAGAACCATCATCATCCAAAGTGTGTACAAGGAACAGAACTTGAAATAAAGTGGGAATCAGAACCCTATGGAACCAAGAATGAAATCGAGAACAGAAATGCAAATAGGGAAGATTTGGGAGACCGAAGAGTGAACGAGAGGAGGTGGGGCAGAATGAAAACCAGAGTGAGATCTAACAGAAGAACTAGATAAAGAGCAAGATAAAGAACAATAATTAGAACAAAAATTAGGACTATTAAAAAACTGAGAAAGGAGAATGAGAACAATAAAGTGACTAAGAATGAGAAGGATTATGAAAAGGAGAGTGAGACTACGAAGAGTCCAAAAATAAAAATGAGAACGCTGTACGAGTGGAAGCAAGAAAGGAATCGAGAAGGAAAACGCAGATGAAAATGATGCTAGCTATAAAAAAAAAACTAAGAATGTGAAGAGGAAACGGAAAAGAGAGCAATGGAAAAAACTAAAAGGAAACGAGAATGAGAACCATATAGAGACCAACAATGGAAATGAGAATCACGAACAAAGTGTGTACAAGGAAGAGAACTTGAAGTAGAATGAAAATGAGAACGCTATAGAAGCAAAAATAAAATCTAGAACGGAAATGCAAATGAGAAATAGACTGAAATCGGAAAGGGGAAATTGAGAAACGCAAATGAGGACAATAAAGGGATCAAGAGTGAGAAGGCTTATGAAACTGAGATGAGAGTTACGAAGAGTCCAAAAATGAAAATTTTAAAAAGAAAACAATCAAGACATCGAAAAATGTGTAAAAAATATTAAAACAAGAATGAGAAAATGAGAATGCAAATCATGTCGAGATCGGCAATGAAAATGAAAATGCTATAGAACCAAAAATGAAGTCGAAAACGGAAATGCAAATGAGAGCGATTTGGGACACCAATGATAGAACGTGAAAAGGGGGGGATGCCAGAATGAGCAATAGAGTGAAATCGAAAAGGAGAACTACAATAAGGGCAAAGTAGAATAAGAATGGGAACAATAATAATAGCGAGAACCGAGAATGAGAAAAAAAAAATGATCGAAAATGAGAAGGATCATGAAAATGTGAGCTACCAAGAGTCCGAAAATGAGCACGCTATAGAAACAAGAATGAAATCTAGAAGGAAAAGCAAATGATAATGCTAGAATGAGAGCCTGCTATAAAAGCATGGAAATGTGAAAAGAAAACGAGAATGAGAATTTGAAAAGAAACGAAAAGGGGAACCACGTAGAGATCGACTATGGAAATGACAACCAAAATGATATCAAAATGAGAACTAGAAATAACAAATAGAGCAAGAATGAGAGCGATAAAAAGACCGAAAATGAAAACCACACCAAGAATATGAACTATCTAGAGCTCCTGTGTTCTGATTCGGGTAATATCATTAGAATAATCAAATTCAGAACATCAACATGCCCACAGACGCTTGTTAATTATGAAATCACAACGCTACTAATATTTACTTATGATAGAAAGTTTTAGAAGTTCAGATTTTGAAACTATTGATTTTGGGTTTCTGACTTTACCACACAATCTTATTAAAACGTTTTGACAACAAAATAACGTATTTTTTCGTTGTTAAAACTATTTGGCCGTATAACATATAAGTGTATGAAGTTCTCGTTCATCAAATGGGCTTTGTGACAAAATTTTGCCACTTCGTTGTGACTGTGTATACGACATAGTGCGCTTGCTCAAAGTTTCCAAACTTGAAATCTGTCAATTCTGTACTATATGTATCAATACTAATTATTATTGTTACTAATATAATCTGGCCTGGAAATTTTGCTATATTTGTTTGAGTTTTGTCCTGTGTTTTTGGTTTTCAGTTTGTCATAATTTTAACAAGATAAAATTAAAGTTTTTGTTAATTTACGTAGTTGTCTTGAAGTTACGTCAAGAATTGGTAATCCGCCGAAAACGCGTTTCCCCACTTTATTTAACTTTTATAAAACAAATAATAATATTTCACACAAAATTCCAGGCTACTAGAGATAGACACATGGCAGCGAAGCGGCCCTTTCGACGTCATCTCCTGCCTAAACTTGATAGACCGATGTGACACCCCCAATCAGCTCCTCAAACAAATGAAAACTTCCCTCAAGCCAGACGGACTAGTACTCCTAGCGGTAGTCCTTCCATTTTCAGCATACGTGGAAGCCGGTAAGTACCTTTCCGCCATATTGCATCACCTAACCGCCATTTTGTTTCAGGATCGCGCGGCCACAAACCCACCGAGCTCCTTCCAATACTGGGTTCCTGTTTCGAGGACCAAGTGAACAGTGTAGTGCACGATGTGCTAACTCCCGCAGGATTTAAAGTAGTATCATGGACTAGAGTTCCGTACTTGTGCGAAGGGGACCTTCAGCAGTCGTACTATTGGTTGGATGATGTGGTTTTTATTTTGAAAGCTGCTAATTGAGAGTGTGAATAAAAATCTGTATGGAGTGGGGAGAAGTTATATCTAGTCTTAGATGGTGTTTTATCTAATGTGTAGATATTTCAGTGTAATCGTAGTGATTGATGGTGCTAACAGTATCAAAAATACAGGGCGATTGTGTGAATTTTTTATCATGTGGGCGGGTTATCTACGAGTTAAGAAATTTAACGGTCGCACTGTGGTTTTACTATTACTAATAGAATTTAACATTTATGTATTTTATTTGGAACAAACTAACAATAGTTTAACTTGAGTGTGTATACTGTTGGACAGAAAATGGGCATTGGGGGTTGGTTAAACTTGAAATTGAAGAACACATGACTTGTAATGAAGCACGTCACAGAAGAAGAAAAATAAGAAAGGGGCCAAATGTATCTTAGTCTCGTTATACTGGGTAAATTTTAATTCTTTGACCACAATGCCCAAGTTTTTGCCCAACGTTAATTATTAACAAAAATGCAAAAGTATATTTTCTGATATTTAGGATAATAATTATTGTAAATGGTTGATCATTATAAATTCGGATTTTGTTTATAAAGAGAATTGTAACAAAGACTGGTAGGAAAGATGCATTGATATTGTTTCGCACTGTTTTTTGTTTTACAGTAGATCCAAAAATAAGGTACACAGGGTGTTTTGTCTAAGACTTAGCTTCCTTATTTATTTATACCTCATGATTGAAAGTAGTCTTCTAGTGGGCCATGATTTTTTTTTTAATAATGATGTTGGCATTTCAGCTATTTGACAATTATTTGACCGCAGCTGGTGTTGCCAACATATTTAATAAAAATCACTCTGACAGTATTTTTTTAACATTTGGTATATCTAGTAGGGACACATATTCTTAATTAAATAATATACGTTATACATCACAGATTTTAGCAATCTATTTTTAATAAATATGTCAATTGGAAAAAGAGTTAACTCCTACGAGAAACATCCTGTATATTTAGTCTTTTACTGCGCCTGCTATATATAGGGTGTATCAAAAAAGAAGAGATAATACCTAACCGTCAGTACGGTTTTGGACGTAATGACACTCACATTTGTTCTTAATCAAAAACAACATATATTATAGGTTATAATCTATAATATAAGGTAAAATTTAATTAAGTTTCAAAACCGACCTTCCAGTTAGTTGTTTTTCTTTCTGAATATAAGTCTAAATAACTACTGTTTAAAACTGTGCGATAATCTCTCTAATGGACTTAATGGGAAATATTTCAGATATTACAAATGTACAATTGATGTGGTTGTGAACATGTAAGTAGATGTAATTTACTTCCACTTCTAGAGTGTAAATTATTGTAATGATATAAGTAATCATTATATTTTTTATTTTTTAACGTGTATACTTAATATCCAAAAGAGAGACATATCAAACTATTTTGCGTTTCAATCAAATTTATGATTGTGTAGTAAGCCGTTTCGAACCAAATTTCCGCGCGCCAAACTTTTGGTAAGAAAAGGGATAGAAATGGAAAGAAACAAAAACCACTAAGAGGGAGGTGCGCAGAAGGGTGTGTTGGAGAAGGGTAAGTCGCGGCCATATTGACTTGGTCTTTCTTTCGAGTAAGACGTCAAGTTGGTGCTCTCTGCGTTTTCCAAGTGTCTGTGCGTTTTGTTTCCGTTTTCAGCGGTGATTCCTTTCAACGGAGTTCCATCCCCCTGACGAACCAGCGAACGTAAGATTTCTCTGCTCGATTTCGAACAGAGAGAGGCCTATTTCGGTGGTGAACACGTGTTTGGTTTGGAGATCCGAGAGGTATGTTTTCCACGTGATTCCGTGTGTGCTGGTGGAAGAAGCGGCGTTGCTTCTCGATGGTGACGGAGTAGGTGAGACGCGGGAACCACACCTGTGAGCTTCGCGGGCGTCACATACGCGAACGGACGCTACCAAAAATGGCGGCACTTCCGGATGACGCCATGGCCGATAATTTTCGTACTAATCTTTTCAACATAATTTCAATCCGTTTTAGTAGGGCCTTTCAGGGAATTACGTTAGCTAGGGCAGTTTTATTTAGCGAATGTTATGCGGAAAGTTGGATGGCAATTTTCGAGGTATTATTTTGCGTTGCATAATTTCAGCACGTGTGAGTAAAGTAAATTCAAACGTAATCTGAACAAATGCATCTTTAACAAAAATTAACGCTGAGAACGGCATTAGAAAATTAATAATATTAGAGTCTGGGGGACGGGGGATTTTTTTTCCTTTGTGTTAATAACATGGATTAATTAGGCACATCAATTTGGCTGACATTATAAGACCTAAGATATTTGAATGGCTTTTCCTCGATTTATTATCCGGTTGTTGTAAACTCGAATGCTGGAAAATTTCATGTAGTTTTTCAAATATTCAGCCGTTCAAAATAGAAAGAGAAAGTGGTAGGGTGCAGGTACGGGGTGTTGACCGGGGAATTTCAAGGGCAACCTTTGTGAATTTTTGTATTAGTCATTGGGGATTTGTTGTTGACCGAAAACTGTTGATGAATTTGAAAATGAATGTTATTGAAAGAAAGGTACAATTCAAATCGAATGTGCACCTACGATTACCTATATTTTATTTATTTTGCATATTTTATGTGTCGCATTTTTATGTGTTGTTCTGTTTATTTCGTATGTGTTTTTATTTATGTGTCTTTTGTTTGGGGATGTGTTGAAGGGAGGGGGGGTTTGTTTGTTTAATTCGGTCAACAACGTAACTTTGCCCAGATCATTTTAATGCAGTCGTAACTTCGTTGTTTAATGTCAGATAAATATTTCATTAAAATCATTGCCAAAATGTGAATAATTTAATCTCTTTCAAAAATTCTTGTTCTTTAAAGTTATTGATAAAAACATGAATAATTTCTCACTTCATTTTCTTTATTGCATAAGATTGTTGATCACACGTGCATAATTTAATCTCATTTCAATTTCTTTGTTATTTAAAACAAGTGTTGATGGAGTGTGGCCAATTAAATTACGCTTATTGCTTGTCTGAAATCCAAATACTCATTCTGATAACGCTAGTTAACTCGGGGGTCGTGTGGCGTGGACGCGGTGGCGTCGGCGTCTCCGTGCGAGTGTCTGCGGGTCTTGCTAGACTTCCGGCCCTAGCGGACTCGGAGTTTACACAGCTACTTGGACGCGGGAAACAGGAAGGTCAACCTATGTCAGGTGGGTGCGTAAGACCACGCACGTGAAGTGGTGAGGTAGGACTATGTGGACCTTCACGGGGAGTGTGGCCGTCGCCCTGCCCCCGCTGTGCGCCCCCCATTTTGTTTGTAGAGGCCACACTGCCATAATATCTGGAACGTTGCCATCCATTTACTTTCTGAGAGTTCCGCGACTTTTTATTTTGCTTTTTTTTTGTTGTACTTGTAAGGTTGCTAATATTTATTCTATGTTCTCAGGTTCGAGTGAAAATAAAGGTTTTTTTTTCTCTGAGGAATAAATTCTTTAAGCTCTTCTGGGGCCCTTGGCCAAGGTCTCTTGAGCTCTTATTGGATTTATTTTTCATAGTTTTTTTTTTCCAAATATAAGTTTTTTAAATCCGTCACTCTTCCCGCTCCGCAGTGCGCCAATTTGTATGAACGAACGCCTCCCGCCAGTTTTCAAAACACAATGTAGGGTCCCACTTTTGTAGACGATCACAGCCAAGGTCAAATTTTAAATTTTAGCGGGCTTTTTCAAATTTTGTTCAATGTCAAAAAAAAAGGCGGGAGGTTTGGGTTATTACAGAATTGGTGCCGCGTGCCCAGCATGCAATGTCGACGCACTGCCTGGAAGAGTGTATTTTGTGTTGCATATGTACTTATTTATATTTTGTTTTCACAGCCAGCGAAGAAAATGGTCGGAAAAAAGAGACAGGTAGTTAATACCAGTGGCGCCTGGAACGTGAAGGCGCCAAGGATCGCACCGCTGGTGGCGACAACCCAGCGAAGACCAACGAGGCCAAAGACGACGCGTAGGAGGCGGCCTGACGTCGAGCGACCATCCAGCTCTCAACGAAGGGTCCAGAGGACCGTGGACCCCGTCCACGAAGAAGCAACAACGGGCCGAGACGAGCAACTGCAAACCCTGTCCCGTCCGGAGCAGATGGATTGGAAAACCATTGCACTCCACTTGCTGGAGCAGAGTCGGCAACCGGAGGAGACTCCGGCACCGGCACCAGCTGCACCGCTGCCTCGTCCGTTCTATTCGGGGGGGACCCATGAAAACCCCAACAAATTCTTGGAAGATTTCGAGGCGTTTTACCGGAGGACACGGACGAGAAGCTCCAGCAAGCTCGAGGAAGTCCGTCTGTGTTTCAGGCAAGGCGCAGAGTCCTGGTACGACATCAATAAGTCCGACTGGGACACCTTTGAGGGCTTCCGGGTGGAGTTCTTGGCGAACTTCTGGACGACTACGAACCGGGAGGACCGATACAAGGAGATCACGTCGGACCAGTTCGACCCAAGCCAGGACGGTAGCATGGTCGACTTCTTCTTAGGACGGCTGAGTATCGCGCGGTCACTGATGCTACGGCGAGAGGAGTCGAATATAATGGCGGACCTAATGAAACTTTTTCCAGGCGAGATCCAAAGGGCCTGGAATGCTGTTCCTCGCACGATGAGGACCGTTAAAGCAGCCCAACATTTCTTAATTGACATGCAGGCCACGATGGACCCCGAGCCCGGTGGAAGATCGGTCATCCGACCAAAGCGTGCGCCGGGAGCTCCGGCGTCTCAACGCCGCGAGGCCCGGGACATCCAATTTCCTGCCCCCACTGTTTCGCCTTTGATGGCATTCAACCCGTTTTCTATTCCCCCACCAAACGTTTCGGGAAATGCCGACCGGACATGTTAGTGAGGCAAGCGTGTCCGTCCACCAGCTCCAAGCCCTCGAATTTCCCATTGATTAAATTCGTGCCCGCAGGGTACATTCCGCCCAAGCCCATTAACGCCCAATCTTCCATGAGTCTCGTGCGCCGAGGGGTCGTGGTGGCGCCTTCTGCCCCTCTCTCTCTTCGGAGATTGAAGGGAAGATATCCTCGTGGGTTTTCTCAGGTCTGTCGGATGGGATGGAACAGGCTTTTGGGAGGTCTAGGTCCCAATCAGGAAGGGATTTCAACACCGCTATGTGTGAAATTTCACCCCGTGATCTCCATCCTGGAGCGCACGAAAATTGTGGGGGACGTTTTCGAGCATAGCATCTCCACGCTTCAGCAGCGCCCTTCAGCTCCCCCACCAGATTTCGGAAGCTGCTCTCTTCTGCCCCACATTTCAATTTCAATTTTTGGTAGGGAACTTCTGGCTCTGCTCGATTCGGGAAGCGAGGTGACTTGCATCAACGAGGAGGAATTTTCCGCACTTTCGAGTGGGCGCAGAATCGCGACACTCCCCGTTTCTTCCACCTTCATCCGAGGCGCCACGGGTCATCAAAGCCACCGGATCAAAACGCAGGCGTGGTTGCAATTTTCAATTGGTAGCAATTTTCTCTCTTCTGCTGTGTTTTTAGTTGTGAAGAACCTAGTTCGGCCAGTAATTCTGGGAATGGATTGGTTGAATAGCACCAATGCTTCCCTGCATTTTCAAAGTGGCCAACTTCGGATCCATTCGGGCGGCCGCCCACAGAACTTCCCGTTTCAAGTGGAATCCGCTGTGTCCGGGCCTGAACCCGCCTTGGACATTTCCCACGCTTCCATCAGAAAGAACACCGACACCCCCGATTTAGCCAAAACCATCACCCCATTTTCTGTTCTTGAAGAAAAGGTCCGCTCCATCGCTTCTTTGGACCCCTCTCAACAAGACCTTCTCCTGACAATGTTTTCACGACACCAGACCGTCTTCAATGAACTTCCCGGTCGCACCGATAAATACGTGCACGTCATCCAAATGCACGACACCACACCTTTTGTCAGGAAAGCGTATCCAATCGCCTTCAGCCTGCGACCCGAAGTTGAAAGGGTCATCAATCAGATGCTTGAGTTGGGGGTAATCAAACGCGAGGCATCACCGTTCGCGAGCCCCATGACTGTTGTTCGCAAGAAAGATGGTTCTGTGAGAATTTGTTTGGATGCCCGTTGGGCAAATAAGCAGATGGTAGCAGATTGCGAAGCGCCCCGCCCTCCTGAAGATCTTCTCCAGTCATTCCAGTCCATCAGGTTCATGTCCACGATTGACTTGAGAGCTTCGTATTGGCAAATCCCGCTGAGTCCCGAGAGTACCCAGTACACCGCCTTTCTTTTCAACGGTCAATCGTACACTTATCAAGTTTTGCCCTTCGGCCTTAAAACAGCCGTAGGTTCCTTCAGCCGTGCCATGGACCTCATCCTCGGCCCCGAAGTCCGCCAATTCACCGTCAATTATATTGACGATTTGCTGATTGTTTCCAACTCATTTGATCAACACTTGCTTCATCTTGACATGGTTTTAACCCGCCTGCGTGACGCCAAATTGACCATCAACCTCGAGAAATCCTCCTTCCTGCAGGAAGAAGTTCGCTTTCTGGGTCACATTCTATCATCGAATGGCATTGCCACTGATCCCGACAAGATCAAGGCCATCCAGGAGTTTCCAGCCCCAAAAACACAAAAACATCTCCGAGCTTTTCTGGGTGTGTGCGGTTACTATCGGCGGTTTAGCGATCGCTACAGTGACTGCATCGCCCCACTCACTCGCTTGCTTCGAAAGGGCGTTCGTTGGATCTGGTCCACCACTGAACAAGAAGCTTTCGATCAAACCAAACAGCTTTTCCTCGACACGGTCATGCTGAAATTTCCCGATTTCAAGAAAGTTTTCTATCTTCAAACTGACGGTTCCGGTGTAGCTCTGGGTGTTGAGTTGTACCAACTCCTGGAGGACGGTGAACACGGTGTCGTTGGCTTCGCAAGCAGACTGTTGCGAGGTCCGGAATTGTTGTACACCGTCACCGAAAAAGAGCTTCTGGCGATCATCTTCGGATTGCAGAAGTATCGAACTATTCTTCTTGGGCATAGATTAGTCATCCGCACTGATCATTATGCTCTCAAATTTCTGAAGCAGTGCAGGTTGTTGAACGATCGCCTCACTCGCTGGTCATTGCTTCTCAATGAGTTCGACTACGAAGTCGAACACATTCCAGGAAAACAAAATGTCGTCGCCGATGCACTTTCGAGGTATCCCTACGAAAGTAGTGGCGTTCCTGTTCGCTCCCATAACTCTCCGGTTGTCGCCACTGTTTCTGTGAACGAGATCGAAATAATTTCAGCCCTCTTCACCACTTCGGGTCTGAAAGACCTCACGAAACATTTTCGAAATCTGAGATCTCTCCAACTGGAGGACGCATTTCTAGGGCCATTGTTTCGAGCCAGACTTCAAGGGAAAACCCATCTTCGGGAAAATCGCTTCTTTCAGTCCATGAAGATCCACCAAGATTTGCTCATTTTTCTCCACCCATCTGACGGCCAGCCGAGGCTACCACTCCCTGAGGCTTTAGTCGATGACGTAATCCAGACCTTCCATGAACAATATGGTCATTTTGGTGTCTCCAAGATTTTCTCTCTGATCCGCCGATATTTCTTTTTCCCAAAAATGCGAGTTCGAATTGAGAGAATCGTTAAGTCTTGTGACCTCTGCCAAAAATCCAAGTTTCCGAATAGAGCACTTTCCGGAGAGATGCACTCTGTGATTGCCGAGAAGCCTGGCGACCTTGTCACCGTCGACTATTACGGGCCCCTCCCGCAAAGTCGTTCTAGGGTCGCCTACATTTTCGTGGTCATTGATGCTTTCTCCAAGTTTGTCAAGCTTTATCCGCTCCGCCGTGCTCAGGCAAAAATTTCCGCCAAGAAAATCGTCGAAGATTTTCACCGCACGCTTCCAGTCAAGGTTGTCCTCAGTGATCATGGGACTCAGTTCCAGTCCAAACACTGGCAAGAAACACTCCAAGAGTGGGGTATACAACCCACTCTCTCCTCCATCCGCCATCCACAATCCAATCCCACCGAGCGTGTCATGAAAGAACTCAGCCGCCTGTTCCGTGCCTATTGCCATGACTCTCATGCAAACTGGCATTCAATCCTTCCCAATATCGAGTTGCTCTTCAACGTGACACCTCACCTCAGCACTGGCTTCTCACCCTATGAGATAATCTCAGGCAAAAATCCACCCAACCCCTTAACAAATCTCATCCAGCCTCTGCTTCCAGCCGTCGCGGCAAAACCCCTGCAACAAATCCGCATCGAGGCACTTTCAAACCTCCGCCGTGCCGCAAACCAACGAAAAAATTCCCAGAAAAATCGCTGCGACGTGTTCCAAGTGGGCGACTTTGTCCTGTTAAGGGAAAACCCGATTTCGGATGTGGCCAACAAAATTTATGCCAAATTTTCCCTCTTGTATTCTGGTCCATATGTCGTTTCAGACAGACCACATCCAAATGTCTATACCTTGAGAGATCCCGTCTCAGACTCCACCAAAGGCCGATATAACATCACTAACCTCAAGCTGTATTCTAGCCGCCAGTGACTCTGCCGCTTCCTACCAACAGGTACACAAGAAACGGGGGGGGGCGCATCCGAATCTCAACGGCCTACCATTTAAGTAAGCGTCTCCGCTCGTTGCGCTGATACTCCACTCCGAAGACGCTGGGGGACGTCTGTAGTAAGCCGTTTCGAACCAAATTTCCGCGCGCCAAACTTTTGGTAAGAAAAGGGATAGAAATGGAAAGAAACAAAAACCACTAAGAGGGAGGTGCGCAGAAGGGTGTGTTGGAGAAGGGTAAGTCGCGGCCATATTGACTTGGTCTTTCTTTCGAGTAAGACGTCAAGTTGGTGCTCTCTGCGTTTTCCAAGTGTCTGTGCGTTTTGTTTCCGTTTTCAGCGGTGATTCCTTTCAACGGAGTTCCATCCCCCTGACGAACCAGCGAACGTAAGATTTCTCTGCTCGATTTCGAACAGAGAGAGGCCTATTTCGGTGGTGAACACGTGTTTGGTTTGGAGATCCGAGAGGTATGTTTTCCACGTGATTCCGTGTGTGCTGGTGGAAGAAGCGGCGTTGCTTCTCGATGGTGACGGAGTAGGTGAGACGCGGGAACCACACCTGTGAGCTTCGCGGGCGTCACATACGCGAACGGACGCTACCAAAAATGGCGGCACTTCCGGATGACGCCATGGCCGATAATTTTCGTACTAATCTTTTCAACATAATTTCAATCCGTTTTAGTAGGGCCTTTCAGGGAATTACGTTAGCTAGGGCAGTTTTATTTAGCGAATGTTATGCGGAAAGTTGGATGGCAATTTTCGAGGTATTATTTTGCGTTGCATAATTTCAGCACGTGTGAGTAAAGTAAATTCAAACGTAATCTGAACAAATGCATCTTTAACAAAAATTAACGCTGAGAACGGCATTAGAAAATTAATAATATTAGAGTCTGGGGGACGGGGGATTTTTTTTCCTTTGTGTTAATAACATGGATTAATTAGGCACATCAATTTGGCTGACATTATAAGACCTAAGATATTTGAATGGCTTTTCCTCGATTTATTATCCGGTTGTTGTAAACTCGAATGCTGGAAAATTTCATGTAGTTTTTCAAATATTCAGCCGTTCAAAATAGAAAGAGAAAGTGGTAGGGTGCAGGTACGGGGTGTTGACCGGGGAATTTCAAGGGCAACCTTTGTGAATTTTTGTATTAGTCATTGGGGATTTGTTGTTGACCGAAAACTGTTGATGAATTTGAAAATGAATGTTATTGAAAGAAAGGTACAATTCAAATCGAATGTGCACCTACGATTACCTATATTTTATTTATTTTGCATATTTTATGTGTCGCATTTTTATGTGTTGTTCTGTTTATTTCGTATGTGTTTTTATTTATGTGTCTTTTGTTTGGGGATGTGTTGAAGGGAGGGGGGGTTTGTTTGTTTAATTCGGTCAACAACGTAACTTTGCCCAGATCATTTTAATGCAGTCGTAACTTCGTTGTTTAATGTCAGATAAATATTTCATTAAAATCATTGCCAAAATGTGAATAATTTAATCTCTTTCAAAAATTCTTGTTCTTTAAAGTTATTGATAAAAACATGAATAATTTCTCACTTCATTTTCTTTATTGCATAAGATTGTTGATCACACGTGCATAATTTAATCTCATTTCAATTTCTTTGTTATTTAAAACAAGTGTTGATGGAGTGTGGCCAATTAAATTACGCTTATTGCTTGTCTGAAATCCAAATACTCATTCTGATAACGCTAGTTAACTCGGGGGTCGTGTGGCGTGGACGCGGTGGCGTCGGCGTCTCCGTGCGAGTGTCTGCGGGTCTTGCTAGACTTCCGGCCCTAGCGGACTCGGAGTTTACACAGCTACTTGGACGCGGGAAACAGGAAGGTCAACCTATGTCAGGTGGGTGCGTAAGACCACGCACGTGAAGTGGTGAGGTAGGACTATGTGGACCTTCACGGGGAGTGTGGCCGTCGCCCTGCCCCCGCTGTGCGCCCCCCATTTTGTTTGTAGAGGCCACACTGCCATAATATCTGGAACGTTGCCATCCATTTACTTTCTGAGAGTTCCGCGACTTTTTATTTTGCTTTTTTTTTGTTGTACTTGTAAGGTTGCTAATATTTATTCTATGTTCTCAGGTTCGAGTGAAAATAAAGGTTTTTTTTTCTCTGAGGAATAAATTCTTTAAGCTCTTCTGGGGCCCTTGGCCAAGGTCTCTTGAGCTCTTATTGGATTTATTTTTCATAGTTTTTTTTTTCCAAATATAAGTTTTTTAAATCCGTCACTCTTCCCGCTCCGCAGTGCGCCAATTTGTATGAACGAACGCCTCCCGCCAGTTTTCAAAACACAATGTAGGGTCCCACTTTTGTAGACGATCACAGCCAAGGTCAAATTTTAAATTTTAGCGGGCTTTTTCAAATTTTGTTCAATGTCAAAAAAAAAGGCGGGAGGTTTGGGTTATTACAATTGGCATGTGTAAATGTCAGCATGGCTTAAATGTGTAAATTAGTCAATGAAGCTCCTTTTATTTTTATAGTGTAATACCCTTAAGTAAAATTATATGCGTAGGTGACTGCAGTAGTACGAACTTGAACATTTATTGCTGACTGTAATCTTTTTTGTGCGTGTTTTTAATTCTTTTAAACCGCTTAGTAAATTATGTTGATTTGGTTTTGCAAAATTTTTACGTATTGTACGCTTATTATTATTTATTATTAATAGTCGTAGACTCTAAGATACAGAACCTTTTTGTGTTTTTCTGTGTGCGTAGAAGTGGTTTGCTGAGTAACGAAACTGATATTAAAATTACTAATTTTTTAACAAACTACGTCAGCTACTGGTGCATTTACCTGTGTACAATCTCTAGAAAAAAGGAGCTGATTGACCCACTTAGACAATAGTAATTGAGTAACGATATAAAACATATCTATCGCCAAATTGATGTCAATTATCTTTCATAATTATAAATTGACTAGATAAATATAAGTATATGTATACTTCCACTGTCATTATAGTTCTTTTCTAAGTCATTTACAACTAATAAATTTCTTTTCTCAATTATTTTATATTTCTTATCAAAAGCATTCCATTGCGCAGTGTTCCATCGTACTTTCTCGTTAAACATAGTACACCGTTGTAAAATAATAAAGTGTCATTTAATTTTGTTATTACACATGTGTTTGTAAAATTATTTGTTCACAGATTTGTCAAACTTCAAAATTCTACTTAGTCACGACTTCGAATCGCACTTTTGTGTATTCGTTGTGTTAAAATTGATTAACGAAAAACTCAATCTAAACCAGAGAGTCATTGTTTCATAGCTTAGACAAATACTTAAACAAGATAAACTGAATAAACTTTTAACAAGTATTTAAACACATTATAGGCAACTACTCATTAGTTATCAACAATACTTCAATAAGGTCAGTTATTGACACAAATCTGGTGATGGAGTCAACGGTTAGCACAGTTCTCCCAGAAGTGGCTAAAACTGTGGCCCAAATGTCATTTTCCTGGTACGACTATCTGCTCTTCTCGATAATGCTGGGTCTGAGTGTTTTAATTGGCATCTACTTTGGGTGCTTTGGTACTAAGCAATCATCCGCGAACGAGTACCTTATGGGTGGCAAAAAAATGAAAGTTCTTCCGATTGCTGTTTCTTTAGTTGCAAGGTAGTACCAACTTTTATTCCACTATTATTATTTACAGATACATTTCAGTCACGTCTCAGGAGTCACCCTTCTGGCAGTACCTGCAGATATCTACAGATATGGCGCCGGTTACTGGTTATTTGTTCTATCTGTAGCGATGATTACACCATGCACAATGTTCATCTACCTTCCAGTTTTCTACAAGTTGCAAATTACAAGTACCTACGAGTACCTGGAGCGAAGATTCGATAGTACCAACCGACTTTTTGCCTCTTTCTTGTTCACACTGGGTCTTTTTTTGTATCTGCCGATAGTTATATACATTCCGGCACTGGCTTTCTCGGCAGCAACTGGAATTAGTGTTTACTACATTACACCACTAGTTTGTGGGGTCTGTATTTTTTACACCACACTTGGAGGACTGAAGGCGGTAGTTTGGACAGACACTCTTCAGTTCACCATCACTACAGGCGCCATCATCACCGTCGCTGTCATTGGAATTAAGTCCGGTGGTGGTTTTGCCGAAATTTTGGCAACAGCGTCGAAAGGCCACCGACTGGACATTTTCGAGTGAGTCTTCGACTCCTAAAGGACGCTAATCCTATTTCGATTGTAGTTTTAACCCAGATCCTACCCTACGAGACTCGTTCTGGATCGTCACTTTCGGTATAGGCGCCTTCTGGCTTTCAATTTTTGGGGTTCATCAAAGTTGCGTACAGAAGTTTATGTCGGTGTCTACGTTACGTGAAGCCAGATTGTAAGTTATTCTTAACAGTTGTACTTGAAGCAAGAGTTTCATTACAGATCTGTGATTTACTTCGCAATTGGTATTACGATAGTTTCATCCTTCAGCGTCTTCATTGGTCTTATAATGTACGCAAGGTACGAAAAGTGTGACCCTTTTACCATAGGATCGGTTCAAAAGAACGACCAGTTGCTGCCGTACTATATAATGGACGTAACATCTCACATTCCGGGACTCTCTGGTCTTTTCATCGCAGGAATTTTTTGCGCAGCTTTGAGTACTCTCTCAGCAAGCTTAAACTGTTTAGCGGGAACGCTATACGAAGATTTTGTTCTGAAAATCACTGGACCCATTAAGGATGACAAGAAAGCTGCTGTTATTTTGAAATTTATAGTAGTAGTGACTGGAGTCGCATGTACCGCTTTAGTGTATGTGGTGGAACGTCTTGGGGGTTTGTTGCCACTGGTTGTGAGTTTAGGTGGTGTTACTTTTGGTCCGTCTTTGGGGATGTTTACTTTGGGTGTACTATTCCCCAAAGCATCAAGCAAGGTAACGTGTATTAATTTAAGGAAAATTTAACATTGATTGTGTTGTAGGGTACCTTGTATGGTACCATTATTGGGTTGCTTTTCTCCGGTTGGATCACACTGATGGCGCAGTACTACAAGAGTCAAGGGATGATTGTTGATGTCCCTAAACCTATTTCCACCGAAGGTTGCTTAGCCAACATTACAATGCTTCCTCTGGTTACACATTCTGACTTCGGATTTTCGAATTTGACTGATTTAAATTATGACAATCTCACTACTCATCGGTATGACGAAATGTAAAGTACTCCTTTATTGTTTATTACATATTTTTATGTTTTTGTTTGTTTCAGGGACATCCGTGATGTTGAAAACAAGCCGTTCTTTTTATTTCGAGTGTCTTACTATTATTTCTCCCTCATGGGTACCGCTGCAACTATAATTTTTGGTTTACTATTTAGTTATTTGTTGAAAAACGACGATCCACCTGTACATCGCGACCTTCTTAGTCCGGTTATCTATTTCATGCTTCCCAATGAGAAGGTTCTAGCTGAGAAAAATCAGGATTACTATCATCTTGACAAGGCTTTGCATTTAGTTACAATTAATTCAGAGAAAGAAGATAAGATTGCTTGAATTGCCGTGGTATTTTGTGTATTTGAATGTGTTAATGATAATGAGACTGATGTAATTTGGATATTAAATTATTTTTTGTACTAATTGTGTTTATTTATTATCTCCACTTGGAACTGTTCTATGGAATGAAAAACCCATTAAAAAACTTCATTTTGTCGAATTTCTATTACCAAATTCTTAAAAGATTATAGGCCACCAAAAAGAAGAGAATGTCAAAATTCCCCAATTCTTAGACGTCCCAAAAACGCTTTTTATTTCTAGACCAGATTTTATTCCTTTACCAGAGCAATTGGACACACAAAAAAGATGATTGAAAATCATTGAGAATTTCCCAAAAACTTAAAAAAAATCTACATTTATTTCTCAATGTATTCTGTATACCTATAGTGTGAGCACATGAATAAAAAATTCAAAAATAAAAAAAAATGACCTTATTTAAACTCTTTCTTTGGGCAAGAAACAATTACTTATAAGAAGCAACCAAATAAAAATCACAAAAAGAGATCGTAGTCATAGGAAAATAGCTAAAAATCCATTTAAATTTCCAAAGTTTGGACAACATAAAAATGTGCAAAATATTCCTCTTTTTGTTAAAACTTAGTCTAAGGGTAGAAGTAGGTCACGATAATAATAATAATAACAATTTTTGGTTCATTAACTGGTTCAACAAGCAGTCGTGGCCGAGCGGTTAAGGCGTCTGACTAGAAATCAGATTCCCTCTGGGAGCGTAGGTTCGAATCCTACCGACTGCGATAACTTTTTATCGGCCAGAGTTAATACGAGGTAAGCAACGCCTCATGGAGTCAAGATTTGGATGTGAATAACGAAGCTCAGATCGCCCGTCACTTTGAATAAGAAATCTCGGATTTTTTTTATTTTTGGATATTCTACATTGGATATCAACTTTCTGTTCATTTACTTCTTTACTACTTTTCATTTAAAGATCTTTATTTTTAGTTTTGTGTTCCAAATATTTTTGTAGCTCTTTTCTTAACATCGAGAGAATATGTGTTGTTTGTTTCTTAATTATTATATTTCTTAGAATTATAATTATTATACTTATCTTACTTATATTTAATTTTTTTTATCTTGAGCAAAATTCTTGTAATTATTGTTACGTTGTACGGACGAATAAAACCGACGTGGGTAAAACTCAACAATTTATTTCTTACTAACTAAAATTTACATGACTAATTATTACAGAGATTATTAAACAATTCCGGCGCAACTTCTCTTGACTCAACTATCTGAATAATAATCGTTCCCGAAGGCGGCCTCTATTTAAATCCATACTTCGGCGATCGAGGTATTTCTCGAATTGGGTATTCGAGATTTCCGCTTCCAGGCCTTTCTTTAGTGAACGCCGCTTCGACCGTTTTCTGGACGGCGCAATCGAGACTTCCAGTGGCCCGCTCGAGGCTTGTCTTTATGCGAACGTATGGGTTTATTTCGAAACATTATTATTTACTGGTATTATTTCTATCGTAGACTTGTAGACGATTTGTGGATAAACTAGACAAAAAGAAGCCTTATTATTTTCTGGTGTAAAAAAAGATTTTGATAAAATTTGAGATTTTTTTTGATTTCTGAATTATTTTTTTCACGTAATCAAAATTTGTTGGGCCAAAAATGAAAATAAGCTTTTTGGATCCTCCAAGAAAGTTGAAAATATTCTCTAGAAAGGAAGTACCTATCGTCGTGAACTGTCTAAAAATCATGGTATTTTGACCATTTTCATGGATTTTGCAATAGAAAAAAAAGTTGTTTTTAATTAAAAAATGAAATCTTCAGACATACTCGTGCTCAATTGTTAATAATTTAGGGAATGCTTGGAATTTGAGGCTTTATTTTTTGTGATGTTTATTCAAAGAAATAGTGCCCAAATATAAGAAAATATTTATGTTTTTGAGACATTTTCATTGATTTCCATTTCATGTGCTCATTTATTGTGGTCCAGAAATAAAATGTCCTTTTAAAGAATACCAAAACGAGAGATTTTAATAGGATTTTAGACCTTTTTGATAATCTGTCAAGTTTTTTTTACTATATTTTACATGTGCTCATCTTTCAGTGCTGTAGGGGATATTTGGCGCCACTAAAGATGAAGATATTTAAAAAAAAAATGCAGACTTTATTTTCTGTTATTTTTGAAACGTTTTTTCCATATGCCCGATTGTCGTGGTCTAGAAATTAATAAAAATAAGGAATATTTTGGGTTTTTGAAACACTTTCAACAATTTCTAATGGTTTTAAAATAGGTAGGTCACGATAATAATAATAAGAAGAAGAATTTTTAGCACATTAACTGGTTCAACAAGCAGTCGTGGCCGAGCGGTTAAGGCGTCTGACTAGAAATCAGATTCCCTCTGGGAGCGTAGGTTCGAATCCTACCGACTGCGATAACTTTTTATCGACGTATCGTTAATACGAGTTCAACAACACCACATGAAGTCAAGGTTTGTATGTGACCGACGATGATCAGACCGCCCGTCACTTTGAATAAGAAATCCGGGCTTGTTTTTGAAATTTTGGATAGTTATATCAACTTTTCTGTTTACTTATTTAGGTACTACTTTTCATTTAAAGACTTTTATTTTTAGTTTTATGTTTTCCAAATATTTTTGTAGCTCTTTCCTTTTAACATCGAGAGAGTATTTGATGGAGTAACCATGTGTTTATTGTTTCTTAATTATTAGGAGTATATTTTAGTATTTTGAGCATTTTTCAACGATTTTGCGTTAGAAAAAAATGTTTTTAATTCAAAAAGGAGATCTTCCCACATATTCGTGCTCAACTTTTAATAATAATTTAGGAAATATTTGGGGTGTCTAAATTTAAAGGTATTTTTAAGAATTTAAGGCTTAATTTTTTGTGATGTTTATTCAATGAACGATCTCTCCATCTGTCAAAGTGTAGAAGTAAATTCTCATTTTTGAGTACCCAAATATAAGAAAATATTTACGTTTTTGCCATATTTTCACTGATTTCCATTTCATGGGCTCAATTACTCTGGTCCAGAAATAAAATGTTATTTTAAAGTATCCCAAGATGAGAGATTTTAATAGGATTTTAGGCCTTTTTGATAAACTGTCAACTTTTTTTCACTATATTTTGCATGTGCTCAACTTTCAGTGATCTAGGGGATATTTGGCGTTACTAAAGATGAAGATATTTAAAAAAAGTGGGACTTTATTTTCTGTGATTTTTGAAATTATTTTTCCGATTATTTTGGTTAAAAAATTAGTAAAAATATGGAATATTTTCGGTTTTTGGGACATTTTCAACAATTTTCAATGATTTTTCAGATGTTTCAAAAATAAAATTTTATTTTAGAGTGTCTCAGGATGAAAGATTTTAATAGTGTTTTAGGCTTTTTCGGTAATTTTTCAATAGAAATGTTAATAAATAAAAAAAAGTTTTGTTTTAATTGTTATAAAACAGGTTTTTTTTGTTTTAAAACATCAGACGTGTAAAAACACCGTTTTAATATTAATATATATTTTTTAATTAACTTTTTCAGATGTTTTATGTGAATGTTAGTTTTTGTATGAAAGAGCAGAAATTGTGAAATTTTAGAACAGTGTATAAATTAACCAAATATATTTATTTTTTATAAATTTCTTTAATGAATAATATTACCAATTCCAATGCTGACAACTGCAGCATAAAATACAAATTTAAAACCATACCATAAAACATATAGTGGCGGCCAAAATAAAGTAGAACACCTCTTGAAAGGATTTTTTCAAACAATTTTGTTGTGTAAACTGAACTCAGTTGAATAGGTATTCATTGAAAATGATATTTAAACGTCAAAAAAATTTGTTCCACTGGGGAATGAAAAGTGATCTACTTTATTTTGGTCACCACTATATCACCAAAATTATTTGCTCTGATCTGTATACAAAATTTAATAATAATAATATTAATAATAATAATAATAATAAAGTTAATAATGCTACAACAACAATTTGTTTTGCACAGGTCAAAAAAAAATACATATTCACATATAGTATTACAAGTACACACTCAATGACATCACTTGAATTTAAAAGACAAATATTCTTCATACGAATAAAATGCATTCTTAATCAACAAACGTTTTAAAGTATCTTTAAATACATGTTTGAGCATGTTGTTAAAGTGTTCATTGTCGTCCAAGTAGTTCAAATTCAAACACAAAGTTCTGGAAATTTTAATTATTATTATTTTTTTTGGGACGTTTAAGGAAGTCTTTACTCTATTAAATAATAATTACTTGGTAAGTTATAGGAAAAAGTATATTTTAAGTACTTATTTAATTAAAACTGTTACATGTTTATAGCAACAAAAAAGACACCAAACTCCGTTTGGTAAAAAACGGTTTTTAACATCTCCATTTCTCCACCGTATTGTTCAAATGTCCCGTTTTTAGTAGCATATACAGAGATCAAAATATTTTATTATCAACAGAGTCCTCCATCTTCCGTGTCGAACTTTATTCAGATGTGTAAAAATGAAATTTTGAAGGTCTTCAGGCTCTTTTGATGTATTTTGAAACAATTTTTCTACGTCTCCAATGGCCGTGCTCTTATTCAAATATTTTAGAAATGTTTTGGGCTAAATTTCAGTAATTTTTAAGATTTTTTTTTTATATCTTTTTATATCTGTTCAATGGTAGTCTATGGTCTTTTGAGAAAATAAAGATTTTTTCTTGTTTTAAATCGATTCTGAAAGTTCTGTTGTTTTGCACTTCAAAATACTTTTTTTCTGTTTCCTCTCATTTCTGATTTTCAAATTTTTCTGCAAAGTTTTTAGTTGAGAGTTTTCCAATTTTTTCGGTTTGTTCTCAACTGGAATTATTTTAGAATGTCGCTTAATTTTTGTTATTCAAGCATACTGCCTTAGGAACAACTTTTGATCGATTTCCTCACTTATGATGCCATCAAGATTTTTTTACATACAAAAACGATACATAGTTGACCTTATTTGATTTGATCCAGAAACGGCACTTTTTGTCGATAAACCATTGACCTCTTCTATAATCCCCATCATTTTCTGTCGGCTAATTTGACCTGTCTTAGGACCCCATTATTTTTTATCAACCAATTAATTTGACTTGTCTTTGAAACCAATCTTTCTGTTTGTTTTTAAAGTGATTGTTTTAAAGTACTAAATATTTAAAACTCGTAGTGTAATCTTGTCATATTGAGAAGAATTTTGCATTACCTACCGTGATCGTTGGTGTGCTCTTAGTGCGATATTAGTGAAACAAAGGTTTTGAGTTATTAGATATTGTTATCATCTGCGTAAGTGTAATACCCGTCTTGAGAATGTTAATAAGCTGATATTGATCGTACATTCGATATTAGTAACCTCTCTGTGTTTTCTTTGCATACGACGCGACGCCTTGAGTTTTTAAGCCAGAGATAAACAAAATTTTTATTTCGACGATATTAGTAACGAACATCCTCTGTCCTCACTTTTGTACATCCCTCCCGTGGCCTACCTTGTTTGTCTTAAAGTCAGTCACCATAAAAGGCCCTTTGGTGCGAAAATCTGTGCCCTTGTTACTTCCTTATTATTTCTCAAGATGAATACATGTATTAATTGTAACGGCTCTATTAAAACTACCACAACCACCATCAACTGTGATGGTTGTAGAGGTATACTACATATGTCCTGTGTGGGCCTGAGCGATAAAGAGGTAAAATGGACCAGATCTAACTCCAAAAATATAAAAGTAGTGTGCAATACTTGTAATTCAAATGTTTGTCTATTTAAAGATCTTAAAACTCTTATTACTTCACTGGAAGAACAGTTTAGTAAATCCATTGCTCAACTGAAGGATGATTTCCAAACACAACTTAATGACCTAAAGAACACTATTACTAATGGTACACCACGTTTAGAAAAATTCGACTTTGAAGACGTAATACAGGAAATTACTGAACGGCAAAAAAGGAAATATAACATCATAGTGTTTGGGGCTGCCGAACATGCAGCTAACTTAACTAAGGAGCAGCGCCAAGAAGAGGATAAAGCAATTATTTGTGACATTCTTAACGAAACTATTCCTTCTGTGCAAACTACAGACCTGGTTCCCAAGCGTTTAGGTCGTTTTTCTGATTTAAATCCACGTCCTAGGCCAATAAAAGTTACGTTGAGCAACGAATCCGATGTTCAAAGAATTATTCGAAACGCTAAGAAATTAAAAGGTAATGACAAGTTTAAAGATATGTCTGTGTCACTTGATAGAACCCCACGCCAGTTAGCATATTATAAAAAAGTTAAGCAGGAGTTAACTGAAAGAACAAACCGAGGTGAAACCAATTTAAGAATTCGGTACATTAATGATGTACCCAAAATTATCTCCTCTTCACCTTTAAACTAACCCGCTCACCCAATTGCACCAATTTTTACACCTGTTTGTACCAAAATGTTAGGGGGCTACGTACCAAAATCAGTGATTGCTATCGGTATATGTTAACGTCTAGTGTTGACCTAATTGCTCTTACTGAAACATGGTTATCTGATGATATCGCCAGCAGTGAATTATTTCCTCATAATTATTATTCCGTATACAGACATGACAGAAACTTCAATGCCATTGGAGTATCTAAAGGTGGAGGAGTACTTCTGGCAGTCAATAATATATATATATCTTCGTCTTTAAATGTACCTAACCTTATCAATATAGTACCAGCCATCGATTTATTGGGAGTTTCGATAATATACACCAATAACAAAAAATTGAACATTTTTGTTGTTTACATACCCCCATTTGTCTCTTTCAACGATTTTGTGCTTTTCTTTGACATGTTTAGTAATTTCTATAAAGACTCTGATTGTGACACAGTAGTTTTAGGGGATTTCAATGTTTCGTCATACAACAGTGATTCGGATAACAGATATACTGCTATATTAAATAATTATGCAAGTTTTTCCAGTTTTTATCAATATAACACAGTTCTAAATTCCAATAATCGTATCCTAGATTTAGTCTTCGCCAATATAACTTGTAGTGTAACCAAATCTGATTGCCCGATAGTGTCTGAAGACAAACATCATCCTACCCTTGATATTTCTTTCTCAACTTCGGATAATTCTTTTAAAAATTTTGAATTTTGTAGCAATATACAAAATTTTAACTTTAGTAAAGCTAATTTTGTACTTCTTTATAAACTCATTCTATCTACAAAATGGGATCATATGTATGAACTTCACAACGTTGATACCGCATGTGATAAGTTTTATGAAATTCTTAATAACTTATTTGAAATTGCTGTTCCGAAATACAAGTGCAGTAAAAATAAACGTTCTTATCCTCCATGGTTTGATATGGAAATCATTAGTTGCTTACGTAGTAAATCAATTTATCTTAAAAAATTGAAAAAATATGGCACTAACCACTACCGTAACATGTTTAATCAATATCGCTCTAGAACGAAAACACTGATAAATAAGAGATTTCGCCTATACATTAATAACATGCAAGCTACATTGTCAACTGATCCAAAGAAATTTTGGAGCTTCATTCAACAAAAAAAGGGTCGCAGCCGAATTCCTGGAATTATGCACTACAAGGATACCACACTACAAACACCAACTGATATTGTTAATGGATTTAGTCACTTCTTTAAATCAGTCTATACGTCTGCTAGTACAATACCTCCTGATAATATTACAGCAGATATTGACCACGATATTACTGTGGCTATATCTAATATCACTAGTGATGAAGTTTATCAAGCACTTAAACGATCCAAGAACAGTTTTACATCTGGAGCAGATGGACTTCCAAGTTTTCTTTCAAGAGACTGTGCTACTGTACTGACTGAACCCTTAAGACATCTGTTTAATCCTATTATTAGTAGTGAACAATTGCCATCAATTTGGAAGAAATCAGTTATATGTCCTGTCCATAAAAAAGGAGCTCTATCAAAGATAGAAAATTACCGTCCGATAGCGCTACTCTGCAACTTCGTGAAAGTTTTCGAGTCTATCTTACATAATAGAATATATACAGCCATCAAACATACCATCTCACCTGAACAACATGGCTTCATGCAAAATCGGTCCGCCATAACAAATTTATTATGCATTACTCAAGACCTCGCTGAGACGATTGATGACAATGGACAGATGGATGTGATATATACTAACATTCAGAAGGCGTTTGATACAATTAATCATCAGCTGCTCCTTAACAAAATGCGCCTCTTGGGTTTTTCTGATTCATTATTAGGCCTATTTCAATCATATTTAATGAATCGTCAGCATTGTGTGAGATATCGCAATTGTATATCTAACTCATTCGTTCCAACGTCTGGAGTGCCGCAGGGTTCGAATCTTGGCCCTTTGTTGTTTCTAATATTTATCAATGACCTGCCGGCAAATATTTCATGCAATAAACTGTTGTTTGCTGATGACTTAAAGTTGTATCATAGAATTTACTCTGTTAATGACTGCCTAGCTCTACAACAGAATGCAAATGTTCTTTCTTTCTGGTGTCGGACAAATCTACTACAACTAAGCGAACCCAAATGTTACGCTATGTCATATACTAAGCAGAAATGTCCTATTATTTACTCCTATAAAATTAATGATTACACTATCAGTCGAACGGATTCCTTTAAGGACTTAGGTGTAACATTTGATAATCAACTTACATTTATGCCACATGTGAATGATGTAGTTGAAAGATCACTGAAGACTTTAGGATTTATTCATCGTTCCTGTAAAGATTTCACCAAGATTGAACCATTAATAATGTTATTTGTTGCTCTTGTGCGCTCTAAATTAGAATATGGCGCTTTAATATGGTCACCTATATATAACATACATATCGATCACTTGGAATCAGTACAAAGACGCTTCCTAAAATTTATTTGCTATAAATTAGATGGAGTCTATCCTGAAAGGGGCATCAGTGAAATTAATTTGTTAACTAGATTCCTTCTTAATTCGCTACGAGTACGCAGGTTAACGCAGAGTATTACTTTTTTATTTAAGCTCCTACATAACAAAATTGACTGTACTCATATAATTAGCAAAATTTGCTACACTGTTCCAAGAATTAATGCACGATATAAAATCTGTTTTCATCTGGATACTTGTAGAACTAATGCACTAGCTAGATCGCCTATTTTTGTCATGTGTAATACATTTAATGGTATATCTCATTTGTGTGATATTAATTTTGATAACGTTAATGTTATAAAACAAAAAATTTTTGAGGTTTATGGAATTTAATTATTTTATTTTATTTGTGTAAAAGGTAGGTTTTTAAAATGGGATTTAATATTAAGTTATTTTCTGTAATTGGGTGATAACACCTGTAGAAAATAAATATCATTATTATTATTATTATTATTATTAAAAGAAAATGGCACTTTTACACAAATATTTTTCACAATATTAATCAAAAGAGTTTCTTACTCTTTTCCGTCATACAGTCCGTTCTTCGAGTCACTTTTATTACTCTGTAGCAGTGCAAACTTTAATCATACAATGTCATTTTCTTAATGCCGTTTCACACATTTACGACATTGCATTTTTCCATTTACATTTGATCCTTTCGTCCTTTTAATTCAATCTGACTTTGGCCTTATTTTATGTTCCAATTATTTTATTTTAACAATTAACATTTGCATAAACGGAAAAGATGAATAAAAGTAAGTTTGCATACAGCTTATCTTTTTTTATCAGAGAAAATCTTTCTAATGTCACATCTTGTTAATGTGTCGTTAAACAAACTCCATTAGTAGCAACGTATTTAAAAATGCATGCAAAACGGTGGCCTTTAAGTTAAAAATCCATTCAGGGTTAAAAAAGATAACCTGGGTAAACTTCTGCTTGCTACTTAAAGTCGTGCGAAAGCAAGATTGTAGCGACTTGTAGTACTAACTTCAAACATGACGTCTCCAGACCAGATGGGTGCAGAAATTGCAACAAAAGTGTTACCAAATGTGCTGGAAAACGTGGCACAGTTATCCTTCTCGTGGTACGACTACATATTTTTCTTTGTTATGTTAGGTGTTAGTGCGTTAATTGGAGTTTATTTTGGCTGCTTCGGTACTAAACAATCTTCAGCGGACGAGTACCTCATGGGTAATAAGAACATGAAGGTTTTCCCTATTTCTGTGTCGCTAGTCGCTAGGTGAGTTTTAAAGAATTACTAAATTTTTGTTTGTATTATATTTATGTTTTAGTCATGTGTCTGGAGTCACCCTTCTGGCTCTTCCAGCTGATGTTTATATATACGGAGCTAGCTTTTGGCTCTTCGTTCCCGCACTTGTAATTGTTGGAACGTGTACCATGTATGTATACCTTCCAGTGTTTTATAAATTACAAATTACTAGTACTTACGAGTACTTGGAACGAAGATTCGATAGTACCAACAGGATGTTTGCGTCCTTTTTGTTTTCAATCGGTCTCTTCTTGTATCTACCAGTAGTTATTTATCTTCCGGCTTTGGCACTATCAGCAACCACAGGAATCAATCTTCACTACATAACCCCACTTGTGTGTGGTGTTTGCATTTTTTATACAACTTTAGGAGGATTGAAAGCGGTAGTTTGGACCGACACTATACAATTCACAGTTACCACAGGAGCTGTATTCACGGTTGTAGTGATTGGAATTAGGACAGCAGGAGGTTTTGGATCCATTTGGTCAACAGCTCTGGAAGGACATCGCCTAGATATTTTAGAGTACGTTTCGACTATTTAAGTAAATTAAATACAAACATTTTGTTTCTCAGTTTTGATCTGGATCCTACAAAACGCGACACTTTCTGGAGCATTACCGCTGGTGTGTTGTCATGGTGGCTCTCAATGGCTGGAATCCACCAAAGTTGTGTCCAAAAATTCCTCTCCTTGCCCACTTTTCGCGAAGCAAAACTGTAGGTTCAAATTAAAAAAAAAACATTTCTAACGTCAAATTTCAGGTCCTTGCTTTACTTTATGCTTGGTGTCGCAGTCGTCTGTTCCTTCAGCATTTTCACAGGTTTGATAATGTTCGCAAGATATGCAAACTGTGATCCTTTATCGATTGGAGCGGTGAAAAAGCACGACCAACTTCTCCCATTCTATATTATGGACGTAGCGTCTCATATTCCAGGTCTTTCTGGACTTTTCATCGCTGGGATTTTTTGTGCCGCTTTGAGCACATTGTCAGCTAGTTTAAATTGTCTAGCAGGAACGATGTTTGAAGACTTTATTTTAAAAGTGACAGGGCCTATTAAAAATGAAAGGACAACGACTTACATTCTTAAGTTTTTGGTGCTGATAACTGGAATAGTTTGTACTTTGTTGGTGTTTGTGGTGGAACATCTGGGAGGAATTTTACCACTGGTTGTAAGCTTGGCAAGTGTAACTTCTGCACCTTTGTTAGGGCTGTTCACGCTTGGTGTTTTATTTCCGAAAGTGTCCAGTAGAGTAAGTGACAGTTTGACTAAGATTTACAGTATCCATATTTTTTTATAATGTAGGGTGCTTTTTATGGCTCCATTGTTGGTCTTCTTTTCTCTTCGTGGATTGTAGTGATGGCTCAGTATTATAAAGCAAATGGAATGATTCCAGATGTTCACAAACCGGTGTCGATTGAAGGATGTTACGATGTTATTAATTCAACAGAGAATTTCCCTCCAACTCTCGAAAATTTTACGACAGTCGACTTTTTAGCTGATCAAAGCGAAGAGTTTTTTTATGATTATTCCAGCAGGTCAGAAGTCTCATAAGTTTTACTCTAGTTGTATATTAATTTATTTTATTTTTTTCAGTGAGGAATATAAAGACGATGAACCTTTTATTTTGTTCAGAATTTCGCACTATTACTACGGTCTGTTGGGAACATCTGTAACTATTATTTGTGGTTTACTATTCACTTATATGTTAGGGAATGACGATCCACCCGTACACCGAGATCTTCTAAGTCCTGTCATTTATTTCTTACTTTCTGACAAGGAAGTGGAAAACTGTCCAACGAAAGAATACTACAAACTGGACAAAGCTTCGCATTATGTTCTTATGAAGGAAGAACTACAGAAGATAAAACGTTGAAATTTTAGTGTAATTTATCAATAGTATGCAAAATGTTATTTCTGGACCAGGCGCATGTAAAAAATCATTGAAAAACGGCTAAAAATGGCATGAAATTAAAAATGGTTAAAAACGGTTAAATTCGAGCAAAACTATATATTTTAAAAGCCACCAGAGAGCTTATAAAATACCTTGTTTTTAAACACCTCAGAATGGCTTTTTACTTCTGGATCAGGGTATACATTTTTGTGTACTACTTTTATCAAATTTGTAAGACTGAGAAAAAATAAATTATTGTAGAACTTTAGAACTGTATTTGTTCTTTTATTTCATTGCACCAAAATTTTCAAATCGGCGAAAACGAGTGCACAACTCCAAGTTTTGAAAAGCGCCCCTAAATCAAAATGCGAAATATGGAGGGCAAAATTTTTATCCAGTCCAGCTTTCGAAAATGAAACCAAATGTTACAAATATTTGAACTTCACAAATTTAAATACGCAAAGAAAAAGAGTGTGTCATTAAAATAACTAGATGGTAATACGCAAGTTATAACGATCGAATGATATTAATTTAACGCATGATAATTTCCAAGGTTCTTTCTTTCAAAATGAATCAACGATTAAGAATAATTTAAATACACTATTATAAAATCTGAGGTGAGAAGTTATGATCCGTGGACAATTTAATTAAAAACTTCCACTATTGATATTTTCTGCAAAGTGTTTTTGTGTCAACATGATTCCAATCCAATCATATTAGAACCATGAAAATTAAAAATCGCAACATAAACTGTGAATTTGTAAATAATGAAACAAAATAACGAAATAATTAAAGTTTTTCAATATCTCTTAATTAACTGATTTTACACCAATTACGCTAGTTGGAGGGGGACCGTGGCGTCGAATGAGATTTATTTTGTTTAAGCAGTTGCTCTTTTATGACATTACAAAAACCTTCAGATCCTTTTTAAAAAGTACCTACTCTGCAATTAATGCCAAATACAAAAGTGACGCAATAAGACAAAAAAACTGTAGATGTAATTTTGGTAAAATCAGCTGGAATATTTAAAATTTGCTTTTAATCTCTAGCTCGTGTAAAAAAAAATTAACCGATCTGAACACCTTTGCCCATTTTCATTCCTAAGTTTCTTGTGAAAATCTTTCTATAATTTACTTACATCATACATAATACTTTGCGGAAGATGAAAAAGATGTCAACTGGAATGAATTAAAAATGTTTATAAATGAAAGTACATACGATAAACCCAATAAGACAATGTAAATATTTTTTTTTAGATTTAGCTTGTGTTTATGTTTGCAGTGATATAAAAATGCAAATAATAATAATCCTAATTGCTGTGGGGTGCAAAAACGCCAAAAATCAGCTGGCAATTCATCAAAAACCTCTCGAACTTCCAAAGAAATTAGTACATGTATCTAGCGATTTAGATTCAAACTACAAATATAAAATTTGGTCTTTACTTAATTATAGAGTGTGGCAGCAAATTTAGCAGGCGACTAAAATTATTATTAATTACGCTACAATAGCGCAAAACTTCTGAATATTATTACATATCCCTATTTCATTATTATTAAATATAGCCGGCGCAACATTAATCTATTCTCAAATTTTCAAAAAAAAATAGGGTGATTCGTTCTTGATTTGATCAATAAAGAAATTTTTTTTTCTCTTTTATGCTGACATAAAATCTGATGTTCCACTTTGGATTTTTTTACGAAAATCTGGATGTATAGTGTGAAAAATCAACGGCATTCATAAACCACAACTATAGGAGTAGGTTATAATGTAAAATATAAAAGGCGGGGACGTCATCGAAAATACATAAAAAAATTGAAAACAGTTGATTTATTAGTTTCGGAGATTACCTATCTAATGAAAATTGACAGAGACGAGAACTGACGGCAGACGACACATGCCAGGTAGAAACGGGAGACCTATCTTTTCGTTCTCAACGGGTTATGAAACGTCAAGAAAATATGAAATACTTCCTCAGCTTACACCCGCTAAGTAGACAGATACAAAATCAAGAAAAATTGCTATTGATTGTCAAACTTTGGTACAACAGAAATAAAATTCAAATATGTAGTATGATAAACTTTCTCTGATTTAGTTTTCAGGATTTAGTTATAGTTTTGGAAATTTTATTCTACCCTATAAAATTTTATTGACAATAACGAGATGGACAGTAAAAAAATGGTAAGAAATATTTAAGGCTCACACCAGTTCACCCGAATTTGTCGGAGAACATTTGCAGGTAGTTGTCCTCGTAAAATAATGCTCATTTTCGTTCCTGTTCGGACCTGGATTATTCTGCTTTCTAACATCTGGGGATTACCGACACGCAACAACTTTAAGTTGTAAATATTTCTTGCCATTGTACTACTGTCCGTCTCGTTATTGTCAATAAAATTTTATAGGGTAGAATGATATTTCCAAAACTATACCTCCTTGAAAATTTCTGAACAACCACAAAAATTTCTATGAACTTCACCTTTTGGATTACAAATATTTTTAGTACTTTTTAGCACTACGGAGCTACATTTTTGTCTTGCAGTACCTACATATTTCGAAATACCACATTATTAGTAAACAATATTTTAAAGTAGAAACTTTCTTGAAACAACTGTAACATGATATGAAAACACAACATGAAACACCAGTTTCTGTATTGTTGCATTTATAATTCATAAAATGTAGATGTTCAGTCAGCTCGAGATGTTTTCGTTAAAAAATAACAGAAAACTCAGGCTTTAGAACAACATTTTTCATGCAGAAATATCAAACGACGAAGGTGACGTTTTGTTCCTTTATTATCTAGGACTGATAATTAAAAATAAATATTTACCCTTTCATTGTTATCGTACTTCTTTCTAAGTCGTTTACAACTAATAAATTTCCTTTTTTTATATTTTTATTTGTGTCTTATCACACGTGTTAAGAGTTGCATTACACTGCATAATTTTCTGTTTATGAATTTGCAATTTTTTCCGTGATATATGTTTTGCTCAATCATGATTATAAGCAGATGATAATTCTGTTTCATTTATAACAAGTTATAGCCTAACCAGGTACGTATAAGTACTAACACGAAATTATTGGGAATCTTTGAAGAATACGTGACTCGATTCGAATTTCATTAAAATCAAATGCTGTCAAAACTAGTGATAGAGTGAGTACTCAGATTCGATAGTACCTAGGAATTTTTGCGTCCTTCCTCTTGCCAATAATTACACATATTTCAACATTATTACTTCATCAGCAACTGGAACTAATTTGCACCATATTTAAAGTTCTATCGAACTTTAGTCAACATCTCTAAAGCACCACCACTTTTACTTTTTATTTGTTAAAATTTTAGATTTTGCTGCTTTGCGACTTCCTTACTAAAACCTGTTTTATGTCACTCCTTATTAACGTATTATAATTAGTAGAAACCTATTTACATAGAGAATGATAATTGCCAGTCATTAATTTAAAACTTATATTCATCTTAAAGAAAGATAAGCTAAATAAACTCTCGTTCAGTACATAAAGACGTGTGGAGAAAAATCGCAACTATTCGCGCCAGCTACTGAAAAAATGACATCTCCAGACTCCACTCCTGTAGAAACTGTAGCTACAGTTTTACCAAACGTGTTGAAAAATGCAGTGCAATTATCCTTTTCGTGGTACGACTATACACTTTTCGGAATAATGTTAGGTGTTAGTGCGCTAATCGGAATCTATTTCGGCTGCTTCGGTACTAAACAATCATCAGCTGATGAGTACCTTATGGGTAATAAGAAAATGAAAGTTTTCCCAATTTCCGTGTCTCTAATTGCTAGGTAAGTTTTAAAAAGTGCCTACTCTTTGCTGAACTTGTATGTATTTTAGTCACGTATCTGGTGTCACCCTTCTGGCGCTTCCAGCTGATGTCTATTTATATGGGGCTAGCTTTTGGCTCTTTATTCCCGCACTTATAGTCGTTTCAATAGGTACTATGTATATATACCTTCCCGTGTTTTATAAATTGCAAATTACTAGTACCTACGAGTATTTGGAAAGAAGATTCGATAGTACTAACAGGATGTTTGCGTCCTTATTGTTTGCAATTGGGCTGTTCTTGTTTTTACCAGTAGTTATTTACCTACCGGCTTTGGCACTAGCAGCATCTACAGGAATCAACATTCACTACATTACACCACTAGTGTGTGGCGTTTGCATTTTTTACACAACTTTAGGAGGATTGAAAGCGGTCGTTTGGACTGACACTATACAGTTCATTGTTACCTCAGGGGCAATAATCACTGTTGCAGTGATTGGAATTAAGACAGCAGGTGGTTTCGCACCCATTTGGTCTGCAGCTCTGGAAGGACATCGTCTAGACATTTTCGAGTATGTTCCGACTGCCTAAGTAATTAAAAAAAAAATAATCAAAATTGTTTTCATAGTTTTGATCCAGATCCTACAAAACGTGATTCTTTCTGGGCAGTAACCCTTGGTGTGGCCGCATTTTGGCTGTCAATGGTTGGAATCCATCAAAGCTGTGTCCAAAAATTCCTCTCTCTTCCGACTTTCCGAGAAGCGAAATTGTACGTCTAATCGAAACTTAGATATGTAAAAGCTCATTTTTAATTCGTAATTTCAGGTCCTTGATTTTTTTCTGTCTTGGTATCACAGTTGTCAGTTCATTCAGTATTTTCACTGGATTGATGATATACGCAAGATACGCAGACTGTGATCCTCTATCCACTGGAGCAGTGAAAAAGCACGATCAACTTCTCCCGTACTACATAATGGACGTGGCGTCCCATATTCCAGGACTTACTGGTCTTTTTACAGCGGGAATTTTTTGTGCCGCTTTGAGCACATTGTCGGCGTGTTTAAACTGTTTAGCAGGGACCATGTTTGAAGATTTTATCATCAAAATAACAGGACCTATTAAAAATGAAAAAACCGCAGCTTACATTTTGAAATTTTTGGTACTGATAACAGGAGTCATTTGTACTTTGCTGGTTTTTGTGGTAGAGCGGCTTGGAGGAATTTTACCTCTGGTTATAAGTTTGGGGGGTATAACAGCTGGACCTTTGTTGGGTCTGTTCACACTTGGTATTTTGTTTCCAAAAGTGTCGAGCAGAGTGAGTATATAACAATAATTGACGACTAAACGTAATCTGTTTAATTCAGGGTGCTTTCTATGGCTCCGTTGTTAGTCTTCTTTTTTGTGGCTGGGTTGTGGTAATGGCTCAGTATTATAAAGCCCAAGGTCTAATTCCGGATATTCACAAACCAGTATCAACTGAAGGGTGTTCTGTTATCACCAATTCTTCAACAACTTTGTTTCCACGTTTTGAAAACTTCACATCAGAACTAGCGACCCACTCTGATTTCATTGCTAACCACACTCAGGAATTTCTTGGTGTTTTTTCCAACAGGTGAGAATCCTACACTTCTGGTGTACTCATACATAATTTTGTTTTTTCAGTAAGAAGCACCAGGATCAGAAACCGTTTTTCTTGTTTAGAATTTCGCACTACTATTATTGTCCACTGGGAACATTTTTAACGATAATTTTCGGTGTACTAGTCACTTATGTGTTAGGAAATAACGATCCTCCGGTCCATCGGGATCTGCTAAGCCCAATTATTTACTCTTTTCTTTCTGATGAGGAACAACAAAATGACAAAATGAAGGAGTACCACAGGCTGGATAAAGCTTTACATCTTGTGTCAGTGAATTCTGAGAAGGAAGAAATGGAAAAGATAAAATCGTAAACTCTTGTAATATTTATAAGACTGAAAATAAAATAAATTAAATTAAATGTTTCTAAAGGAATAATAAAAATAACAGAATTTATTGTTTCCCTTATTTTATAGTATCATTACTCTGTTACGTTACAATTCAAGTAAATATTTCATTAAGATAATCCAAATAATCTTTTAACTTCACTACCTTTTTAAAAATGAAACAAAGAAAGCATAGATAATAGTAATTCATCCGAATAAAGATTGTGAGTGAAATGTCTTGTATATACTTTATTTAAATTAAAATTATAGCCTTGTCAATTTTATACACACGGGAAGTCCCATGTCCATTTGTTCTCTCTAATCATGCAGAATTTTTTCCTAGTCTTAGTTACGAATGAGTGGTGCACGAGCCATCATCTCTTCCTGTCTCGTTCAAGTTACCTTTCTCACCTTCCGAAGCGGCTCTTCACAGGTCTTGGACCTAAGGGAAACTTTTTGTGACGGTCACCGGCAAAAACTTGAACTTCAAAATAACATGAGTATTTTACATTGTCCAATTATTCTTTCCTAAATCGTGTGCTACTAATAAAGTGCGATTTATAAACTTGCTGTTGACGTTTAAGTTCCCCTTACAGTTTCTGAAAATTGTCATTTATAAACTCCGTTGCCAAGTTGATAGTAACTTTGATGTTCAACTTTTGCCATATTTAAAGGGGTTGTAGAAGAAAAGTAGAGGATATAAGTTGATTACCACAAAAATTTACCATTTTAAACATGTTTTCAGTTTTTTATTGTCGAAATAAGTCTACACATTTTAAGAAAAAAAGGCAAATTGTAGCTCCGCCCAGCCGCCCTATCCCAATTGCGATGATTTTTTTTTATTCATCGTGAGGCAAGGGAGCGGAGCTTAACTGCAAAATTCTTATTTCTCTACGAGGAATTAAAAATATGTTTTTGACTATCGTTTTGTTCAGAGGATACTGTGTGTATTAAGGCAAAATTAAAGCCCGCCCCAATCTCAATTCTCAATTGTGATGAATTTTTCAGTCGTTGTCAGATCGAGTTGCAAGATCTATATTTGTCTACTAGAATTTACCATTTTAAACATGTTTTTAGTTTCTTGTTATGAAAAAACGACTACGTACATTAAGAAAAAAGACAAAATATAAGTCCCGCCCACCCGCCCTATCTCCATTGTGATTATTTTTTTTTAATCGTCGAGAGTCAAAGGAGTAGAATTTAATTGCAAAATCGTTATTATTTCTCTACAAGAAATTACCATGTAAGACATGTTTTTGAGTATCGTGTTATCTGAAAAATACTGTGTATTTCAAGAAAAAAATTAGGACGAATAAGGACGAAAAGGACGAAAAAGGACGAAAAAAGACGAAAAAGGACGAAAAAAGACGAAAAAGGATAATTAGGACGAGAAAGGACGAAAGAGGACCAAAAGGGACGAAAAAGGACGAAAGAGGACGAAAGGGACGAAAAAGGACGAAAAGGACGACCAATAAAGTATTGATTGACTTGTGTAAACTGTAAGGACGAAAAGGACGGAAAATGACGAAAAAGACGAAAAAGGACGAAGAAGGACGAAAAGGACGACAAAGGACGACAAAGGATAATAAGGATGGAAAAGGACGAAAAAGGATAATAAGGACGAAAAGGACGAAAGGACGATTAAGGACGAAAAGGACGAAAATGGACGAAAAATACGAAAATGACGAAAAAGGACGAAAAAGGACGAACAAGGACGAAAAGGACGAAAAAGGATAAGAAGGACGAAAAACGTCGAAATGGACGAAAAAATACGAAAAGGACGAAAATGGATATTAAGGACGGAAAAGGACGAAAAGGACGAAAAGGACGAAAAAAGACTAGAAAGGACAAACAGGACGAAAAAGGACGAAAAGGACGAACAGGACGAAAAAGGACGATAAGGACGAAAAAGTATAATAAGAACGAAAAAGGATAATAAGGACGGAAAAGGATGTAAGGACGAAAAGGACGAAAATGGACAAAAAGGACGAAAAAGGACGAATAGGACGAAAAAGAACGAATAGAACGAAAAAGGACGAACAAGAATGAAAAAGGATAACAAGGACGAAAATGGACTAAGAGGACGAAAAAGGACAATACGGACAAAGAAGGACGAAACAGACGAAAAAGGATGAAAAGGTTAAAAAAGACGAAAAGTACGAAAAAGGACCAAAAGGACGAATATGGACGGAAAAAGACCAAAAAGGACGAAAAGGACGAAAATGGACGAAAAGGACGAAAAAGGAAGAAAAACGACGAAGAGCACGAAGAAGGACGAAAAAGGATAACAAGGACGAAAAAGGACGAAAAAGGACGAAAAGGACAAAAATGGACCAAAAGGGACGAAAAGGACGAAGAAGGACGAATACGAACGAGAAAGTACGAAAAAGGATAATAAGAACGAAAAAGGATAATAAGGACGAAAAGGACGACAAAGGCCGAAAAAGTAGAAAAGAAGAAGAAACGGACGACAAAGGACGAAAAAGGATGAAAAAGGACGAAAAAGGATAATAAGGGCGAAAAAGGACAAAAAGGACGATCAGGGCGAAAAAGCACGAAAAAGACGAAAAAGGACCAAAAGAACGAAACAAGACGAAAAAGACGATAAGGACGAAGAAGGACGAAAAGCACGAAAAAGGACCCAGAGGACGAAAAAGGACGAAAAAGGACGAAAATGACGAAATGGACGAAATGGACGAAAAAGGACGAAAAGGACGGAAAAGTATGAAAAAGACGAAATAGAACGAAAACGACGAAAAAGGACGAAAAAGACGAAAATGGACTGAAAGAACGAAAAAGAACGAAAAGGACGAAAAAGAACGTAAAGGACGAAAAACGACGAAAAGGACGAAAAAGGATAACAAGGACGAAACAGGACGAAAAGGTCGAAAAGAACGAAAAGGGACGAAAAAGGACGAAAAGGACGAAAAAGAACGACAAGGACAAAAAGGACGAAAAAGGACGAAAAATTAAAACAAGGATGAAGGATGAAGATGAAGAAATGGACGAAAAGGACGAAAAAGGACGAACAGGATTAAATAAACGAAACAGGATGAAATAGGACGAAAAAGGACGAAAAAGGACGAAAAGGACCAAAAGGACGAAAAAGGACCAAAAGAATAATAAGGACGAAAAGGACGAAAAAGGACGAAAAGGACGAAAAAGGACAACAAGGACGAAAAGGGACGAAGAAGACGAAAATCGACCTTAAATTTCGTTTTTGAAATATATTTATTTTTTATCAAACGTGTTAAGAGTTTCATTACACTACATAATCTTGTATCTATTGTACTACTCATGGTGTAAGTTTTATTAAATATTATAAGGACTTGCCGTAAATGAGATAATACCTTCTGTAGTTTTTATAGTACCTGTTGTTTATGGATTTGCAATCTTTTTCTTTGGTTGAACAGCTTGTATTTAAGCATAGATTTGATGTGTTTTGCTCGGTCATGATTTTTAAGCAGATATTAATTCGGGTTCATTTACAACTTATTCCGGGTAGCAGTGTATGAATCTGAATTCACTATTTTCTAATTTGACTGTATTTGGATAAGTACTGCCAGGAACTAAACTATACTTCGAATAAAGTTAAATCTTTGAAAAAACCAGTGTACCTAGATCGCAGGTTTCAGAGTACCATCCGAATTTTTCCGTCCTTCCTCTTAGCATTGGGTTTTCCCTTTATCTACCGATATTTACGTACATTTCAGATTTAGTCTTTCTTCAGCAACTGTGTATTTTAGTTAGACACTCTATAAATCACTTTCACTTTCCATTTTCAACGTTGGTGATAATTTCGCTGATCTCAGAACTTGTTCTTTTGCCACTTGCTTGTGAAAAATTAATACATATAAATGTATTATTTTTTATCAACGGAACGTATCTTCTGTCGCGCGGTATTAACGTATTGTTAAAATAGTAGAAACGTATTTACCCAGTGAATGAAAAATGCCAGTCAGCAATTTAAAAAATTATATCCTTATAAGATAAGCTCTAAATAAACTCTTGTTAACTATATAAAGACTTGGGAAAAAAAAATCGCAACTATGTATTTGTGTTAGCAACTGAAAAAATGACATTTTCAAACTCTACCTCTGTAGAAACTGTAGCAACAGTTTTACCAAACGTGTTGAAACATGTGGTACAATTATCATTTTCGTGGTACGATTATATACTTTTTGGAATAATGTTAGGTGTTAGTGCGTTAATTGGAATTTACTTCGGCTGCTTCGGTACTAAACAGTCAACGGCTAATGAATACCTCATGGGTGATAAAAAAATGAAAGTTTTCCCAATTTCTGTGTCTCTAGTAGCTAGGTGAGTTTACAGAAGTACCTACTCTTTGCTGAACTTGGCTGATTTTAGTCACGTTTCTGGAGTGACCCTGCTGGCCGTCCCAGCGGACATCTATAGGTACGGGGCCAGTTACTGGCTCTTTGTTTTCGCTTGTCTACCTGTTACATTGGTTATCATGTTCGTGTACCTTCCAGTATTTTATAAATTGCAAATTACTAGTACTTATGAGTACTTAGAAAGAAGATTCGATAGTACTAACAGGATGTTCGCATCCTTTTTGTTTGCAATTGGTCTCTTCTTGTATCTACCAGTAGTTATTTACCTTCCGGCTTTGGCACTATCAGCAGCTACAGGAATCAATCTTCACTACATAACCCCACTTGTGTGTGGTGTTTGCATTTTTTATACAACTTTAGGAGGATTGAAAGCGGTGGTTTGGACTGACACCATACAATTCACGGTTACCACGGGGGCTATATTCACTGTTGCAGTGATTGGAATTAAGGCAGCAGGTGGTTTCACATCCATTTGGTCCACAGCTGTGGAAGGACAACGTTTGGATATTTTTGAGTATGTATAAAGTGACAATATTTTCAAATAATAATTCTTTAATTTTTTTCATAGTTTTGATCCAAATCCTACAAAACGTGATTCTTTTTGGGGAGTAATTCTTGGTGTGTCCAGCTGGTGGCTCTCAATGGCTGGAATCCATCAAAGCTGTGTCCAAAAGTTCCTCTCACTCCCGACTTTCCGAGAAGCGAAATTGTATGTCCAAAGTTAAATATTTAAATGTTCATTTTTAATTGGAAATTTCAGGTCCTTGATTTATTTCTGTGTTGGTATCACAGTTGTCAGTTCCTTTAGTGTTTTTACTGGACTGATGATATACACGAGGTATGCAGACTGCGATCCTCTTTGCACTGGAGCGGTGACAAAGCACGATCAGCTTCTCCCATACTATATTATGGACGTGGCATCCCATATTCCAGGACTTACCGGTCTTTTCATAGCGGGGATTTTTTGTGCCGCTTTGAGCACATTGTCGGCGTGTTTAAACTGTTTAGCAGGAACCATGTTTGAAGATTTTATCACTAAAGTAACCGGACCTATTAAAAATGAAAAAACCGCAGCTTACATTTTGAAATTTTTGGTGTTGATAACAGGCGTCATTTGTACGTTGCTGGTTTTTGTGGTAGAGCGTCTTGGAGGAATTTTACCTCTGGTTATAAGTTTGGGGAGTATAACATCTGGGCCTTTGTTGGGATTGTTCACACTTGGTATTCTCTTCCCAAAAGTGTCAAGCAGAGTGAGTACATCTATGTAACTATTCATGATTAAAACAATGTAATTTTGTTTAATTTAGGGTGCTTTCTATGGCTCCGTTTTTAGTCTTCTTTTTTGTGGCTGGATTGTGGTAATGGCTCAGTATTATAAAGCTCAAGGTCTAGTTCCAGATATTCCGAAACCAGTGTCAACTGAAGGATGTTCTGTGACAACTAATTCAACTAGTTTTTTTTCAAATTTTGAAAATTTTACGACAGAAATGGATCATCCAGCGACAAATTGGACCTACTCTGATTTCATAGCTAACCACACGCAAGATTTTTCCAACAAGTGAGAATTCGACACTTCTGGTGTACTCGTGCACATTTTGTTTTAATTTTTCAGTAGGAAGTACCAAGACCAGAAACCGTTTTTCTTGTTCAGAATTTCACACTACTATTACTGTCCAGTGGGAACCTTTGTAACGATAATTTTCGGTCTACTAGTCACTTGTGTGTTAGGAAATAACGATCCTCCAGTCGATCGGGATCTGCTAAGTCCAATTATTTACTCTTTTCTTTCTGATAAGGAAGGAAAAGATGAAAAAATGAAGGAGTACTACAGACTAGATAAAGCTTTACATCTTGTATCAGTGAATTCTGACAAGGAAGAAATGGAGAAGATAAAATCTTAAACTTTTGTAGTGTTTATAAGACTGGAAATATATTAAATTAAAGTAGAACCACTTGATGAGTTTCAAATTTTTTCTGACGAAATAATAAAAGTAGCAAAATTGACTAGTTTGGATGATTTTTCGTATTTTATAACGTCATTATTCTGTTAAGTACAATTCAGGTAAACATTTGATTAAGATAATCCAATAATCTTTACACCTTTTTAAAAATGAAACAAGGAAAACACGCAGATAATAGTAATTCATTCAAACAAAAATTCTGAGTGACAGGTATAAGTATACTTACTTTATTATTTCATTAAAATATACAGTCCTGTCAGTTTTACACGTACAGGATGTCCCATGTCTACTAGGAAATGGAGGAAAATTTAATTTTAGGAAAAGTAAAAATTAATAACAAAAATAAGTACCTAACTAATCCAAAATCTAACCAAAAATTTGTTTGGATGGACAAGAAATTCTGATCAGTAGTGTCACAATTGAGCGATTATATTGAAGAACTTTACTGACGTCAAAAATTTATTGTTCTCAGCTGTATATCATTCCTACTCCAGCGATCACTAAAAAATCTTTGTACAAATGAAATTAAATCTAATTGTAGTCAACGCATAATAAAACGTGATTATAATTGATTAGATAAGATAAGAAATACATTTTATATATACTGCGTGTGTTACATATGAGAGTTGCTTAATAGATTCTAGATATTTTTTACTTCCCGAGCGTAAGCAAAGGAAGTATTGTAATCGAGTTCGTCGGCCGACTCTCTACTTTTACGTTTTCTCGATCTTTCATGACCCCTAGAAGACGAAGAAATAGGTCTCCCATTTCTGTCTGTCTGTCCGTCTGTCCGTCCGTCTGTCCGTCTGTCTGCCGTCCCGGATTTTTATTAGACAGATAATCTCCGAAAGTACTGGACCGATTGTTGTGAAATTTTGTACTTATATTAGGAATATCATGTAGATGGTAAAACGCTAACCAAAATTTGTCTAATCATCCCCACCACTAATGCGATGACGTCACTTCAAAATTGTACATAGTAAATGGGTTTTAAATTGTATAAAATAACATAGTCCTGCACATGTAGTTTACGACTCCGAATTGAGTTTTTACCCGAAACGTCCAGATTTTTGGAAAAAAAATCAAAATTATGAAACAACATTTTGAAATTTAATTTTGAATTTGCAAATCTGAATACTTTGAAATCTTGCAGGTGGTTTACAGTTATGACAAGCATGATAAATAAATTTACTTATCCCTTCTAAAAAATTGATGACGTCACTTCAAAAGTTTGCCGAATATATCCCACCTTAAATGGGCAAAATATGATGAGTCTGTAGTTGTGATTTATTATTCCATTCATATTTTTTGGATTTGCATATACAGGGTGACTCAAAAACATTCATGAATCTGCGAATTTATTTTATTGATTTAATAAGGAACCACAAAACCGAATGCTTTGAAATCTTGGACATGTTTTAAAGTTATCATAGGCATGGTAAATTTTTAGTCAAAATGTATTTGCTTATCCCCCCCCCCGAAAATTGATGTGTCACCTCAAAATTTTGCTGAAGAAACGCTTAAATGTGTAAAGAATTATAAGTCTATACTTGTGATTTATCACTGCATTAATACTTTTTAGATTTGCTTATACAGGGTGTCTGAAAAAAATTAATGACTGAGTCAATTAATTTTATTGATTAAATCAAGAATTACAAAAATGTAATACGAAAAAAGACACAATAGGCTTGCAATCGTCACGTTCCCGACAGCGAGGGAAGTACTGTCTAAACTCTTTAGACCAATTTTTTTACAAAGCTATTGCTTAGTTTAGGTCAACACATTCATCTTATAAAAATTTTCCGAACTACCGAACAGAGTACTTTATTACAAATAATTGTAGTGATTTTTTGATTTTTGACTACCAGAAACGATTTCTATTCTACTTCGCAGATTTGTTTTTTCAATGGCTTATTTTAATCATTTATAATTTCTTTTGGCCGATCTTTGATTCAACAGAGTTCAACTCTGTATCATTTACGAGTAGATTCACAGGTATACAAAAATTCAACTTAGCGTAACCGCACTTGAAAATTTAAACATCAGAAAATATCGTTCAATAATGTAGGCAATCTGCCATGCGTTCGAACTCGGTTTGGGGTAGGTTGGCCTGGACTAGTGTAATTAGTGCAGCATCAGTTTATTAGGATTTTCAACTTTGCCTAATGCTAAACAATAAACTCCAATAATGGAAATAAATGTTCATATAAAACACGTAGCAGGAAATGTACTTATTCAGGCTTATTAATTATTCATTTATGGTATTTATGCTGATCTTAGACGTTGATCCATTTTGAGAGAAAAGTCCTTGAAAATTATCCTCAGTTAAATTAATATCATCGTGGACTCGAAATGGGAATCGTATTTTATGCATATTATGTATTATATTAATGTGTTATTTTATCACATCCGAATTACGAGATGACATTTTAGCTCTACCTGAAACAAAAGCACGTGATCACGTGAATGTTTATCTGCAATACCGGATTTTTAACCTTAGTGAATCAGGTCGTCTAGTTGGCTTAAATTCGTATCTTATATAAATAACTTACCTTTGAGTAGCTCAAATAGTCCATTTTTATTGAACAATATTGTCATTTAGTTAGATCCTCAAAGAAATTTAGTCTACAATTTCTTTCCCAGTTTTTCTCTGAATATAAATTTCCTGCAACTATAGTTGAAATTTTTTGTCTGCAAAAATCCTCTACCTAAATACTGAATCAAACACGCTCTAATTACTCCCATTTAACAGTGAGACCTAATCTCTAATACACATTCACATACATTCACTCACCATTATAAAAGTATTAATAGGCGTGACGACAATTAATAAAATATAATAGGAATGTTTTGCAATTCACGCCTTTGCGAGTTATTCCCTAATCCTTGTTTTAACAAGCTTCGGAAAAAACCGAATCGATGCAGTGACGGAGAAAGATCTTCAAACATTGAAAATCTTTGTCAAACTACATCCTAAAATAAAAATTTTACACAAAAGGTACTGTTTATTTTAAGTCTGCACTTTTGTAAATAAAACTGATAAGGCGAATAAACTTTTTCGGAGTATTTAAACGTTCAAATAGTCGTTGCTGGACCTTAAGTGTCCCTAGCTTGCGTAACACCCTCTGCAAAATTTTGAAAATGGCTACGTTTACAACCACTGAACCGACAACAGTACTGCAGCATGTCCTGAAAAATGTCTCCCAATTAACATTTTCGTGGTACGACTACATTTTCTTCAGTGTGATGTTGTGTCTTAGTGCGTTAATTGGGATTTATTTTGGCTGCTTTGGTTCCAAGCAGTCCTCAGCTGACGAGTACCTCATGGGTAACAAGAAAATGAAAGTTCTTCCCATTTCGATATCGTTAGTTGCTAGGTGAGTCACCAAAGGAGCGTTTCTTTTGTAAAATAACAAGAAAATTTTAGTCATATTTCGGGTATAACGCTGCTAGCTGTTCCAGCTGATGTCTATAGGTATGGAGCTGCTTATTGGCTTGGAGTACCATCACTCATTATAGTTGGAATAGTCACGATGTACATTTACCTTCCAGTATTTTATAAATTACAAATTACCAGTACGTATGAGTACTTGGAACGGAGATTCGACAGTACTAACCGAACATTTGCGTCCTTCTTGTTCGCACTGGGTCTCTTTCTCTATTTACCAATAGTGATATACGTGCCAGCTTTAGCATTCTCTGCAGCTAGTGGAATACAAATTCATTACATCACCCCAGTAGTCTGTGGTGTGTGTATTTTTTACACCACACTTGGAGGATTAAAAGCGGTAGTTTGGACCGACACTTTACAATTCACAGTGACTACTGGTGCAGTCTTCACTGTTGTTATAGTCGGAGTTAGAGCAGCTGGTGGTTTCGCAGCAGTATGGGCTAGAGCTGCACAAGGTGATCGCTTAAATTTCTTCGAGTAGGTTTACCCCCCTTTAATCCACAGATCCTTCCACTTTTTGTTGTTGCAGTTTTGATCCAAACCCCACAAAACATGACTCTTTCTGGACCGTCTTCATCGGTATTTGTGTCCACTGGATCGGTGGAATGGCCATTCACCAAAGCTGTGTCCAGAAGTACCTTTCAGTGTCGACTTTCCATAAATCCAAATTGTAAGTACCAACAACACAAAATCACCCACTTTAAAGTTTGTTTCAGGACCGTAGTTTACTTTTTCATTGGAATTGTAATTATGTGTACGTTGAGTGTCTTCACCGGATTGATAATGTACTCGCGTTACTTCAGCTGTGATCCTTTCACCACTGGAGTGGTCCAGAAAAACGACCAACTCCTCCCGTACTACATCATGGACGTCGCGTCCCATATTCCAGGACTGTCTGGTCTCTTCATGGCTGGAATTTTTTGCGCGGCTTTGAGTACCTTATCGGCTTGCCTCAACTGTCTAGCAGGAACGGTGTTCGAGGATTTTGTGGTCAAAATCACTGGACCCATCCAAAATGAAAAAACTGCTGCCACTATATTGAAAATTTTGGTTTTGGTTGCTGGGGTGATTTGTACCTTGTTAGTTTTGGTTGTTGAGCGTCTTGGAGGAGTTCTGTCTTTGGCTATAAGTCTAGGAGGTGTAACTTCTGGGCCACTATTGGGTATGTTCACTCTGGGGGTGTTGTTTCCGAAGGCGTCAAGTAAAGTAAGTTTTGCCAGATTTTATGACAGTTAATACTTCTTTGTTGTTTAAAGGGTGCGTTCTATGGATCCATTATAGGCCTCTTGTTTATGGGTTGGATAGCAACAATGTCTCATTATTACAAAGCTGCAGGGGTAATTGTGGATATTCCAAAACCAACTACAACAGAAGGTTGTTCTTTTGTTGCTAATGCAAGTTTGACATCTTCAGCTATTCTGGAATCAAGATCGTCACTTTTTGAAAATTTCACAACAGAATCTGCAGAGCTTCAAGTTGATAATTTAACTAGTGTTCATTTACCAAAGTCGGAAACACCATTAGGAAATCCTAACGAACAAGTATTTGCTTTATTTAGGCTTTCGGTGTACTATTACACTCTATCGGGGTGTCTTGTAACCATTGCGTGTGGTTTATTGATCAGTTATCTCTTCCACAATGACGATCCACCAGTAAATCGAGATCTGATAAGTCCTGTAATTTACTTCTTGCTGCCAGAGGAAAAAATCGTCTTTGATGCTAAGAAGAATTATTATAGTCTTGACAAGGCCCTACATCTGGTTACTACAATGAACTTTTCGAAAGAAAGTGATGAAAAAATCAAAAATTGACTGATGTGTACCTATAGGTAATTTAATTTTAGGAATTTTATTTATTTTGTTTAATACAACATAAAAATGTTAAAAAATCGTGTGTTATTTAAACCTGCTATTTTTTTCTAAATACTCCATAAGCCAAAAAATCTAATAATAAATCGCGTAATCAAATGTTTATTTTCACATGCATAACAATTTTGTTTATGTAACAAATTCGATAATTAATTGGTTTTGATTTTTTTTTTATTTTTTGCGTAATAGCTTTATCACAACTACATATATTTAGTTAACAAAATATCAACATTAATAATCAAGTCTTCGCCTTTGTTGTTAGAGGATTTGGAAAAAACCTGTAACTTGAAATGGTCGTTCAGTGGCTATATATAGAATTTATTTAAATATTTAAACATCCTTATTTAGTTAATTTTTACTTCTTAACAATTAAATAATACAGGAATACGCATCGTTATGAACTTAAAATTGATAAGATAACCTCTGGTAATTTTGGATAAACATTTAAAAATATCCATTTAAAAATAGACGTCGCAGGAACCTAAGCAAATAAGTTTGAAAACCTTTTATTGGGACCAATACTTTTTAACGGATTTTTTAATTTTGTCAGTAAGAATACTCTAACTACGACTTGATAATCTTGTAAAGAGATTAACGAAAACATTAAGTGAAGAATGAATTTATGTGTGTAAATAATATAATGTAATGTAGTATGTTAACTTATTATTTAACATAAATCTAATGGAAACATCAACCGTAACATCTTTAGAGGAAAAACCTTGACTCTGTAGTTTTCAGGTCATGTTCAATAAAACCACGTATTATTTACAGAAAAGAGTTTACACTAAAGATTTCACTATTTGTTTTCTAATTCCATCATTATACTCAATAAAAACTGTTCTGTTTATTTGGGAATAAAACTGTTACTAATAATTTTTAGATGGTTTTGTAAAGTAGATCGAGGCACTATATACAGAGTAATCCAAACACTAGCATATCTGAGAGAGGTTGTTGCAAAAACTTGGTACTGTAAATTATATCGGGTGATTTTTTAAATTTCTGCTCTAGTTGGCCATGACGCTTACGTCATCCGTTGCTATCAGTAACAGATAAAACACGTTCTATTTATAAAATTTTATTTTGTCATACCACCTCGAAAAGGGATTCAAATTTCTACTTGTTTTTCCATATCATAAGATATGTAAAGGAATACATAATTTCTTCTAAAATATTGAATTTTATTAAAAGTTTCTTCGAAAACCGTGACACAATTAATTTTATAATTAATTACTATTAATCCGGCGCCTCCACCATTTTTGTGCAAAAATTTTAATTGATCATATCGATCCCAAATACGGTTGACCGAATATTTTTTCAGAATCACGAATCTGTCTAATTTTCGGCATATTTCTATGAATAACTCAGACAAAATTCAGTTTTAAGGAGGCCATGACCAATTGTCATAAGTGTCATAACGTAGCAACTGTAATTTTGTTGTGAATTTAATCAAATTGCAAAATCGATATTTCCTTATACAAATTTTCCATTTTAGACGTTTTTTAAGTTTCATGTTGTGAAAAGAGGTCTACATACACATATTAAAACAAAAAGGCAAAATGTAAGCCCACCCACCCGCCCTATCTCAATTGTGATGATTTTTTTACTCGCCGAGAACCAAAAGGGGCAGGCTTAACTGCAAATATTTATTTGTTTACAAGAAATTAAAAACATATTTTTGAGTATCGTGTTGTTCAAAGAATACTATGTATATTAAGAAAACAAAGCAAAGAATAAACCCCGCCCACCCACCCCATCTCAATTGTGATGATTTTTTTTTTATTCTTAGAAACTTAAAACACGTTTAAAATGGTCAATTTTTGTAAAGAAATATGGATTTTGCAATTAGGTTCCGCCCCTAGGTCTGCCAACGAACGAAAACTTCATATTATTTAGATCAAGGTAGGTATGGGTGGGGCTCAATCTTTGGATTTAATTTTTTCTTAATATACATTGTATTTTTTGAACAACGCGATACTCAAAAAGATATCTTACATGGTAATTTATTGTAGAGAAATAATAAGAATTCTGCAATTAAATTCCACCCCTTTAGCTCTCGAGGATAAAAAAAAATCATCACAATTGAAATGGGGCGGGGCTTGTATTTTGCCATTTTTCTTAGCATAGTAGTCGTCTTTTCCGAACAAGAACCTTAAAACCTGTTTAAAATGGTAAATTCTTCTAGACAAATATGGATTTTGCAATTAACCCCTTTGAACAAGACGATAGTCAAAAACATGTTTTTAATTTCTCGTAGAGAAATATGGATTTTGCAGTTAGGGTAGGTCCCCTTGGGTTACGATGAATAAAAAAAATCATCACAATTGAGATAGGGTGGGTGGGCGGGGCTACATTTTGCCTTTTTTCCTTAATATATGTAGACTTATTTCGACAATAAGTAACTTAAAACATATCTAAAATGATAAATTTTTCTAGCAATCAATTTAAATCCTCCACTCGATTAAAATTTCTTCTACTCTGTCATTTAATTCAAATAAGAAAGTATATATTTATGTATTTAATTTAAAATATATAGTTTCATGGTGAGATTTCCTAGGGCTTCTTGAGACAAACAATTTTTTATGCAAAAATTAAAATTAATCAAATCAGTCCCAAATGTAGTTGCTCACATTGGAGAAAACGCAATTTTATGCAAAAAATGATCATTATTTTGAGTTCAAATTTCTTCTACAGTAGCGGTCATTTCTACGGAACCACTCGATAAAAAGTCAAGTTGGTAGCCCTGTCATCTAGTACTTTACGCCGAACGCGGTTGGTAGCGGTAGTTGATATGGCAATCGAAACTAGCACAACACGAATGTTTCGGTTGCCCTCAGTTATGCCGCACTGCATCCCGTGCAGACTGTGTGTTCTGTTCATCTATTTATTAAAATAAAATATCTGCACTGACAATGGAGCCATCTAACCTGTCAAATTTTTGACACACATGTTTTCCCCCAGAAACCCGTCAAGGTCACTTACACCAAACAAATTTTGAAAATTTACACTAGGGAGTGGTTCTATAGAAAAGATCGCGACTTTAATTCTTTTATTTTGTTCGAACTTCATTTAATAAATATACACAATTTTATCGTGCAATTTCCTCGAAATAAATAATTTTTGCAATTAATTACTAACCCGGTGCCTCTAACCCTTTTATGTACGGAGTTAAATTGATCAATTAAATTGGTTGTTCTAGTCGGAAATTTACGAATTTGAGTTCATTTTCGGCATGTTACTACCGCGTGATCAGCAGTAATCACCCTCTGTTGGCAGTACCATCGGTGGAAATAAAAAACTGGGACACTGAAAATTTTTGCATTGTAAACAGCTCTTTAAAATGAAATTTAAAAAATGTCACCTTGATTAATGTCAAGTGCCAATTCAAAAATGCCAAGTTTGAATGAAGTTCAAAAGCAAACTATTGCGCAACGTTTAAGGGATGGGGTCTCAATTAGAACAATAGCAACTGAGCTGCATATCAGCAAGAATACTGTCCTACTGGCGAAAAAAAAAATTAATGAATATGGTAGAATTATCAGACAAGCGGGGTCGGGTCGTCCAAAAAAAACGACTGCAGACGAAAACATTCAATTCGCAAATTTCATTCGAGAATATCCTTTCGAAACAGTGGTTAACGCAAGGCAGCAAACGAATTTCCCTGCGTCACTGAAAACAGCCCGGAAGAGAGTCCACGAAACTGAATTAAGAAATCGGGCTGCTGCCAATAAAATATTTTTAACTGAGCAAAACAAGGCAAATAGGGTATTATTTGCTCAGGAATTTGTCAATAAACCTGCAGATATGTGGAATAATGTGATATTTTCCGACGAAAAAACTTTCAAATCATATAGTAATGGGCGTCGTCGTGTCTATAGACCCCCAGGAACGAGATATGATGAACGCTATTGCAATAAATATAAACAATCCGGTCGCTTTTCCGTTAATGTTTGGGGGTGGGTTAGCAGCAGAGGACGTGGAATTTGCGCAATAGTAGAAGAAAGATTAAACGCTAATGTATACAGAAGGCTTCTAGAGGAACTTATGCTCCCCTCAGTAATACCAGTTTTTGGAGAACGAAACTTTATATTTCAACAAGTTTGTGCTATTCTTCTTTTCATTTTTTTTTTTTTAATAATTATAAAACCCATTGCAGGATAACTGTCCAGTTTATAATGCCCGACTGGTAAGTCGGTATTTGGAAGCCCGGGGAGTGAATGTTTTGCCTTGGCCCTCTAGGAGTGCAGATTTAAACGTAATTGAAAATGTTTGGGGAGAAATGCAAAAATATATTTATCAAAATGATTTTCGACCTAGAAATCCACTAGAATTACAAGAAAAAATTGTCGAGGCATGGGAAACTGTAACACCTGGATATATGAGGCAGTTAGTTGCTTCCATGCCTCGTCGACTACAGAATGTGATCGATGCAAATGGTGCAATGACAAAATACTGATCAGTTGAATTGGCATCTTCAGTATAATGTTTCTAGTTATAATTCCAGTTTTTCATTTTCTCTTGAATAAAGTTACGTTCCTAATTTTACGCTCTCGTTGACGCCTTTATCTTTCCGACTAATTTCTTGAAAACAATAAATACTCGTAAAATATGCGAAAATGTTTCACAAACCTAATAAATATTTTTGGCAGGAAAAGCCCAACTTACATGTTTTAAATTTCGAATTTTCAAAATTATCTAGTTACCTATTGTGTCCCAGTTTTTTTTGTCCAGCGATGGTACATTTTAAATAAAAATGGAAATTTTTCTTGCGTTTATGTTGGTATAACGGAAGTAATTCTGTGACATATAGGTAGGTATGTCAATCGCAACATGCAATAAATTTAGGTTATATTTTGGAATCATTTTACAAATTTCAAACATCAGCAATTTGTTAGTCTTGACAGCCGACAAGCGAAAATTATAGAACACATCGTGATACCAATTTCAACTAAAAATCCAACAGATCCTATCATTTCTGATCACACGGTACCAATAACTGAAAAAAAAACGCATTTTACTTCCCAAGCGAAATTTAAGTAAGGGCGACTCTCCCGTTTTCGTCAGTCGGTCGTCTGTCGTCTGTCTGTGTCGATTTTTATTAGTCCTAAAAGTGGTTATTTTTTTTATTTAATCTTTTAATAATGTTGTAATTCTGTCATTTTGTTCAAATAAGATTTAAGAAAGATGCAGTCTTCTATGTTCAAATTAAATATTAGCCCTCACCATTTCATACAAAAAATTTAACGAATATTAAAATGATTTTGCCAAAAATGTATACAGGGTGTGTTCCTTCACAAAGACATTTGGGACGCCGCTGACAAAACAAATTTCACGATCAAAAATGCTTTCTGCACGTGTACTTGTTCTATTAAAAACCCTTAAATTATAGCAGTAAGGCATTCGGCCTAAAGTGAAAAACTTAATTATAAATATTTAATAATCATTGTTAAATGTCTTAAAAACTGATAAATTCAACACCGAATGTCCCATACGTTACGCCACTGTCTCCCAACCTCTCCATCCTTCCATCACTACTACCAACCACACCTCTTCCCACCAACAAAAAATCACTATTAAAGTGAGGTTATGTGAGTATAGGTTATATTTGCACCATTGTTGTTTTCGTTGTGAAAACCCAAACCATTCGCAAAAAAATGGACCCCGAAGAAAACGTCCACCGCCTCGAAGGCATCAACGACCAAAAAGGCGGCTTAATAGTGAACAAAAAGCCCCCGACCTTCAAGGTCCCGCAGCCTTCCCTCTTAGGCTTGGATCGACTCGCCGCGGCCAAACGCAAAGAAAAGGAAGAAGCAGCTCGCAAAATGTCGTTCTCGATGGACGACGACGACCACTCCGACGAAGGCGGCAGCAGCACCAGAGAAACCCACTCTTCAGACGGCCGGAAATTCAGAGCCCCCCACACCGAAACCCCAACTTACACCGGCGGAATTTCCGAGGAGGCGCGAGAACGGTTGGTGGAGAGACTCAACGCAAATAAATACAGAGAGAAGGGGGTTTATGCGACCACTAAGGATAAACACAGGAGTAGAGACCCGAGGGACAGGGAGCGAGATAGGTATAGGGATTCTAGAGACAGAGACCGCGACTATAAAAGAGATAAGCCGCATGAAGCGAGTTCGCATCGGCCGAAGACGCCGCGGTTTAAAGATGAGCCGAAGACGCCGAATTTGGGGCACAAGGATGATATTTCGAAGAGTTCGTGGGATGATGATGATGAGGCGCCGTCGAAAAGGTCGTCGTGGGACTTTCCCACGCCGTCGACTTATAAAGGTGGGGGCGGGGGTGACTGGTCTGAGAGGAGCACTAAATCGAAGAAATATGAGGAGTCGAAGAGGAGTAATCGGGAGAGGGAAAGCAAGAGGCGGAAGTATGAAGATGAGAGTGCTAGGTTTACACCAGCATATAAATATAATTCGTGGGCGAAAGATAGGAGGAGAAGTGGGGCCACCCCTCTGCCGGGTAGGGAGGGTATTAAATGGGAGAATACAGTCGATAGAGAGTTATGGGAAGAGGAACAAAAGAGGATTGATAGGGAATGGTACAACATGGATGAGGGTTACGACGATGGAAACAACCCATTTTCGAGCGTGAGTGAGGAATATACAAAAAAGAAGGAAGAGCAATTGGAGCAGAGAAAAAAGAAACGTTTATCAGCGCAACAAAGACAAATTAATAAAGATAATGAGTTGTGGGAAAGAAACAGAATGTTAACTTCAGGTGCTGTACATTCCATTGATTTTAGTGAAGATTATGACGAAGAATCTATTGATAGGGTACATTTGTTGGTACACAATATTGTACCACCATTTTTAGATGGTAGAATAGTTTTTACCAAACAACCAGAACCAGTAATTCCTGTTAGGTAATTTTCTGATTAATTTTTACCAAATAAATTAACAATAATAAAAAAATTGTAGAGATCCTACTTCAGACATGGCTATTGTTTCGAGGAAAGGGTCACACTTAGTCAGGGTTTACCGTGAACAAAAAGAAAGAAAAAAGGCGCAGAAAAAACACTGGGAGCTCAGTGGTACCAAAATTGGTGAGATTCTCATCATCCACATATTTAGTGTAATTACAAGTTTGATTCAAAATTTAGGTAATATTATGGGAATAAAGAAAAAAGAAGATGAAGAGGACAAACGATTTAACAAAGACGATGACACCGCTGATTACAAAACTGACCAGAAATTCGCAGAACACATGAAAGCAACTGAAGCCAGTAGCGATTTTGCCAAAAAGAAAACGATTTTGGAGCAAAGACGCTATTTACCGGTATTTGCAGTGAGGCAAGAACTGTTGAATGTTATCAGAGAAAATTCCGTCGTGATTATTGTGGGTAAGATATATTCATAATTTCTCAATTAGAAGAATGCATTTTGAATAATTGGGTTTCATAGTTATAAATATCTTATCATGCAATATAGAGAAACAAAGACAGGTGTAGATAAACTTGGATCATATTACGTCAACTGCGCAGTTTGAACATTTTTAAATTTAATTGTGAAGGTTGAGATGTTTTGTTTATTGCGGCGTTAGATGAGGTGTTAATTCAAGTTCTTGCAGAAAAAAAAAAAACTAAAAGTACTGCATACGAATTTATTTTGTTTTTATTTTGATTTATTGTGACAGATAAGAATTTATGGGCGCGAAAGAAGTGTAAAAATAGAATTGTTTTCAATATTTATTTGACGTTATAAAATTTACGACCTTGAGTAACGCGTGGGTTTGCTGGTGTACCGAGAAATTGTTGGATAATTTTTGAAATAAAATGTTGTCTTATCTGAAATTTTTAATACATATTTTTTTTAACAAAAAAGTGTGATAATTGGCACACTTGTACCGACTTCAGCGATAAGTCAAGCGATTGACGTTAGATCTGCTTTCTAATCATGTTTTAAAACGCGTTTGATGCCCACTTACAGTCGACGAATTTTGATAACGTCAATCAAATTAGACTTTTATTTCCTGAAAATCCAACAAAGAAAATTGTACCCTAAATACAACAATGGGAATGTACATTGTAGTTTCGTACAGGGTCGAAAAAAATCTACAATTTTACAATTTTTAATTTTTTGTTTGTTCAGTTTCTCGATTTTCAATTTTTTGAATTTTCAAGTTCATATTTTTCAGTTTTTCTACTTAAAATTTCTCGAGTTTTCAATTCCTGATTTTTCAATTTTTCGATTCTGTAATTTTTCATTTCTTCAAATTTTCGATATGCAATTTTTCGTTTCGATTTTTTATTTTTTTTTATGTTTATATTTTTGGATTTTCCAACGTTCAGATTTTATAATGGTTTTTCTTATTTAAATTTTTTGTATCAGTCTTTTATTTTCTTGGTTTTTTCAAATTTTCAGTTTTCCAATGTTTTGATTTTTAATTTTTCTTTTTTCAGTGTGAAATTTTTCTGTTTTTCGATTTGCAATTTTTCGGTTTTTCAACTTTTAGATTGTTTGAATTTTCGTTTTTTCAATTTTAGATTTCTCAGTTTCTCGATTTTTCATTTTTCATTTGCTTAATTTTTAAGTTGCAATTTTTCTAGTTTTCGCTTTAAATATGTAATAATAATCATGATTTTAAAAAAATTTCACTCTTTCAATTTTGCGATTTTAGAATTTTTCCATTTTTCATTGATTGGATTTTAAGTTTTTCATTTATTCGAGTTAATTTTTCAGTTTCTCAACATTTAATTTTCCAATTTTTCGATTTAATTTATTTTTTCTTCTTTCCAATTTTTTGACTCCTTAATTTTTTTTCGATTTTAAACTTTCTCGATTTTTGGTTTTTCAATGTTTCAATTTTTAGTTGTTTTAGTGCTTCCATTTGCAATGTTTCGATATTGCCATTTTTCTTTTCTTCAGTTTTTCGATTTTACAAAAAAAAAAAACTGGTTAAAATTGGTTCAGTCGACTCAAAATTGGTGTCAAATTGTAGATAATTTTCGGCCATTACATATCCAAATCACCTTCACGACATCTGTTGCAATAAAAGTAAAATATGACTCCAAAATTTTCAAAAATTTTCCAAGAAAATGCTTAAAATTGGTTCAATTGACCTAGAATTGGTGTCAAATTGTAGATAATCTTCCGCGAGTTACGAATCTGGAATCGCCGTCACGATGTCTGTTCCAATAAACACGAAAAGTGAATTCAAAATTCCAAAAACTTTTCAAAAAAATGGTTAAAATTCCCAGTTCAATCGACTGAAAATTGGTGTCAAATTTTAGATAACTCTCCGTCAGTTAGAAATCTGAAATCGCCGTCATTATATCTGTTCCAATAAATACGAAAAGTTAATTCAAAATTTCGAAAATTTTCCAAAAAAATGGTAAAAATCTGTTCAATCCACTGAAAATTGGTGTCAAATTGTAGATACTCTTCCCCAGTTACAAATCCGAAATCGTCGTCACGACATCTATTGGAATAAACATAAAATATGGTTCCAAAATTTTTCAAAAACGCTTAAAATTCGCTCAATCCACTGAAAATGTATGTCAAATTGTAGAAAATCTTCCGCCAGTTACAAATCTGAAATCGCCGTCACGATATCTGGTTCAATAATTACGAAAAGTGAACTGCAAATAAAAAAATTAAAAATGGTTAAAATTGGTTCAATCGACCGAAAATTGGTGTCAAATTTTAGATAATCTTCCGCCAGCTGTAAATCTGAAATCGCCGTCAGGGTCTCTGTTCCAATATACACGAAAAATTTCAAACAATTTTTCAAAAAAATGGCTAAAATGGGTACAATCGACCGAAAATTAGTGTCAAATTGTAGAAACTCTTCCGTCAATTACAAATCCGAAATCGTCTTCTCGACACCTATTCAAATAAATGTGATTCCAAAATTTTTTAAATTAAAAAAAAAATGGTTAAAATTGGCTCAATCCACTGAAAATTGATGTCAAATTGTAGATCATCTTCCGTCAGTAACAAATCTGAAACCGCCGTCACGATATCTGTTTCAATACAAACGAAAAGTGAATTCAAAATTTTCAAAAAATTTCCAAAAATTGGGTAAAATTGGTTCATTCGACCGAAAATTGGTGTGCAATTGTGGATAATCTTCCGCTAATTACAAATCCGAAATCGCCGTCACCATGTCTGTTCCAGTAAATACGAAAAGTCAATTCAAAATCTTAAAAAATATTCCAAAAAAATGGTTAAAATTTGTTCAATCGACCGAAAATTGGTGTCAAATTGTTGATTATCTTCTGCCAATTACAAATCCGAAATCGCCGTCACCATATCTCTTCCAATAAATACGAAAAGTGAATTCAAAATCTTAAAAAAAAATCCAAAAAAGTGGTTAAAATTGGTTCAATTAACCGAAAATTGGTGTCAAATTTTAGATAATCTTCCGCCAATTATAAATCCGGAATCGCCGTCAGGGTATCTGTTCCAATACACACAAAAAATGAATTGAAATTTTTCTAAAAAAAAAAATGGTTAAAATTGGGTCAATCCACTGAAAATTCGTGTCAAATTGTAAATAAACTCCCGCCAGTAACAAATTTTAAATCGCTGTCACTTCAATTTTTCGATTTTTTGATTTTTTCCGATGTTTTAGTTAGTCGATTTTTCAGTTTTTTAGTTTTTCGATTTTTCAAAAAAATGGTTAAAATTGGTTCAATCGACCGAAAATTGGTGTCAAATTGTAGTTTATCTTCCGCCAATTACAAATCCGAAATCGCCTTCACAACATTTATTGACATAAAGGTAAAATATGAGTCCAAATTTTTCAAACATTTTCCAAAAAAATGGTTAAAATTGGTTCAATCGACTGAAAATTGGTGTCAAACTGCAGATAACCTTCCGCCAGTTACAAATCTGAAACTGCCGTCACGATATCTGTTTCAATAAAAACGAAAAGTGAATTCAAAATTTTCAAAAAATTTTCAAAAATTGGGTAAAATTAATTCAATCGACCGAAAATTGGCGTGCAATTGTTGATTATCTTCAGCCAATTACAAATCCGAAATCGCCGTCACCATATCTCTTCCAATAAATACGAAAAGTGAATTCAAAATCTTCAAAAAATTTCGAAAAAAGTGGTTAAAATTGGTTCAATTAACCGAAAATTGGTGTCAAATTTTAGATAATCTCCCGCCAATTATACATCCGGAATCGCCGTCAGGGTATCTGTTCCAATACACACAAAAAATGAATTGAAATTTTTCTAAAAAAAAAAAAAAATGGTTAAAATTGGGTCAATCCACTGAAAATAGGTGTCAATTTGTAAATAATCTCTTGCCAGCAACAAATTTCAAATTGCTGTCACTTCTTTTTTTCGATTTTTCTATTTTTTCCGATGTTTTAGTTAGTCGATTTTTCAGTTTTTTAGTTTTTCGATTTTTCAAAAAAATGGTTAAAATTGTTTGAGTCCACTGAAAATTGGTGTCAAATTGTAGATAATCTTCCGCCAGTTATGAATCTGGAATCGCCATCAGGATATCTGTTCCGATAAAGACGGAAAGCTAATTCAAAATTTTCCAAAAAAATGGTTAAAATTGGTTCAATCGATAGAAAATTGTATTTAGATAATCTTTCTTCAGTTACAAATCGGAAATCGCCGTCACGATATCTGTTACAAATAAATACGAAAAGTAAATTCAAAATTTTTCCAAAAAACAGTTAAAACTGGTTCAATCGACCGAAAATTGGTGTCAAATTGTAGATTATGTTCCGCCAATTACAAATCCGAAATCACCTTCACAACATTTATTGACATAAAGGTAAAATATGAGTACAAAATTTTCAAAAATGTTCCAAAAAAATGGTTAAAATTTGTTCAATCGACTGAAAATTGGTGTCAAACTGTAGATAACCTTCTGCCAGTTACAAATCTGAAACCGCCGTCACGATATCTGTTTCAATAAAAACGAAAAGTGAATTCAAACTTTTCTAAAAATTTACAAAAATTGGTTAAAATTGATTCAATCGACCGAAAATTGGTATGCAATTGTGGATAATCTTCCGCCAATTACAAATCCGAAATCGCCGTCACCATGTCTGATCCAATAAATACGAAAAGTGAATTCAAAATCTTAAAAAATATTCTAAAAAAATGGTTAAAATTTGTTCAGTCGACCGAAAATTGGTGTCAAATTGTAGATAATCTTCCGCCAGTTACAAATCTGAGATCGTCCTCAGGATATCTGTTTCAATAAATACAAAATGTGAAGTCAAAATTCCAAAAATTTTCCAAAAAAATTTGAACGTTTAGCGAAAAAACTGAAAACGGATTCGTATACTACAAGTATAGGAGTATATTTTTGTCTAACATTCAAAAATCATTTTAAAATATGTTTCAATTGATGGCGGAGATGATTAGCCAAATTTTGGTTAGCATTTAACCATCAACATGATCGGATACAGGTACCAGACAGACAGACAGATATACAGACAGACGGACAGACGAAAACTGGGGACTACTTTTTTCGTACTGCAGGGGATATGAAACGTCGAGAAAACATAAAAGTGGCAATTCGTCCCATGGATTAGATTACTATACTTAGCAAAATAAATCAAAAGTTATTAGTTTTTAATTCAGTTTATTCAATTTTTGACATCGCCTTATATTTTATTTAGTTATTGTAATTTTCATTTCCACGTAATCGAGGTAGATTCATCAACCACAAATTTAGGAGCATGTTATTTTATCAGTTTAAATACCATTTAGTATGCAAATTTTTGGTGACGCCAAATTGTTGGTGGGGATGATCAGATAAATTTTGGTTAGAATTTTACCATCTACACGATATTCCTAAAATACAAATAAAACAATCATTCTAGTAGTTCTGTCTAATAAAATCGACACAGATAAGAGACAACCGAGAGGTAGAGAGGCGGAAACGGGAGACTTATTTTTTCAAACTCTTAGGAGTCATGAAACGTCGAGAAAACATGATACTTACTAGTGGTTCGCCAGATGGGTCCCCGTCGCATCGATTATTCGGAAATTTCAAAACTAGTTAGATTTTATAAAATAACATACTCGTGTACTTGTGGTTTATGAATCTGCCTTAATTTTTGTAACGGGGTCGTTCCGACGATTGGCTGCGTTCATGTTTTTTCGACGTTTCATGGTTCCTGTAGTACGAAAAAGTAGTCCTTGCGCTTCCGTCTGTGTGTCTGTCTGTGTCAATATTTATTAGACAGTCTCCGAAACTACTGCACCGATTATTGTTAACTAATCAAAATTTGCCTGATCATCCTCACTAATAATTTAATGAAATTTTTTGTACCATACGCGATTTAAATTTTATCAAATAACGTACTCTTGTACTTGTGGTCTATTAATTCGCCTTGATTTTGTCTGTTATTATTATAATTATTTTTTATTAATCAACATTTCGCACATTAAACCTGGTTTTGAAATATGTACAGAGTACCAACCTTACGTATGTTTTCGTCATAGCTTAGTGGCAAGGGCCCAGGGTTCGATCTCCCATATATCCATTTTTTTTCCTCACACCGGTTTACCTGTTTTTTAGCAGTCTCGACATATTTCTACTTGAAATTATGAGGGCTATTTCCTGTTCTGAGTTTATGGTTTCTTAGAATAATGCGTTAATTAATAATAATGAATGAACCTTTTTTTTGAATAAACGTTGAAACCATCTGCTCATAAATAACCTAATAATATCCAAAATATTTTACAAATTTGTTCTTGAACAAAGCTAAAAGAACCATTGATTTTTTTATCAAGAGTAAAACATTTCCTCATTCGCTAATCCATCACTAAGATAAAAAAACAAGAATGTTAATAAATTTCTAGCTTTTGATTGATGATGTTTTTAATACGACAACATTTTTTTTTTAATCTCTCGAATTATCAAATTGATACCAGTTGGTTCTAGAATTCTAACACACTGTGCTTAAACTTAACGACACCTCGTTAAGTACTTCAGTTGAATTTCCATTCATTTTTGGGTTCATTCTAAAAAATATATTTTCGTATTTTCGGTTTAATTTAGATACAGTTATTTTGTTGATTACGTGCAACATTTTATTGGTGTTTTCTTATCAAAGTATGTCCACTGTAGTTTCCCTCATTTTAAGGAAAGGAAATCAGTAATATAGATAAGTATATCCAAGAATTGCAGATATGTAAATAATAAAAAGAATTAAATAAAGTAATCGATGACAATGACAATAAACATATTTCGCAAGCCTTATCGACCTGCATTCCTTTTATTATTTTTTGTCACACACCCAAATTCCTGATGCTGCAGTTTTTTTTTTCTGTAACCATGACTATCATTTATTTATAATCCTTTGAACTGATTGTATAATAATTTTAATAAGGTTCGAAGGAACTGCAAAATCATTCATGAATAAAAGAAATAGCAGCGGACCCTGCGTGAAGCCACAATGTGCACTTTTCTAATCTATATAAAAATATTTTTTAAAGTACCCCTGTATTGTTAGTAGTTCACTGACTTTGTATACACATCACAAGCAACAATTTTTATGACCAACCGCAATAAACTTTAATTTAAAAAAGGCACGTCATAAATTCGCTATACTAATAAGAATGAAGTTTATCCTTGAACTGAAAAAAATCCTCATTGTTTGTTTATATCCTAGTTAATTTGCAGACATGTTTCATTACACATGTTTATAATTCATTCCAGAATTATAAATAAGCTTCTTTTAGCAGCAGCTAATCATTTTTGATGTCGAGACCACAAACCACTTCAGATACGCTTCACTGTTTTAAAAAGATGCCCTCAATGATAATTTCTGCAAACAAATAGTCAACAAGTCTAACGTAGACAGCAAGGAAAACATTGCGAAATGGGCGGTTATTTCTGATTTACTTTTTTTTTAACAGGAAATAAAAAATCCAATTAAATTAATATCACCTTTCAATTCTCGTCTAGGTGAAACCGGCAGCGGCAAAACCACCCAACTCACCCAATATTTACACGAAGATGGCTACAGCAAGTACGGAATGATTGGTTGTACGCAACCGAGAAGAGTGGCTGCAATGTCGGTGGCGAAACGCGTTAGTGACGAAATGGGCACACAGTTGGGTAATATCTCAAAAACGAATCCTTTTCAAATAATAATTAATTTCAAACGTGGATAGGCGATGAAGTGGGTTATGCCATCCGTTTCGAAGATTGCACTTCTGAGAACACCGTCATCAAGTATATGACGGACGGTATCCTCCTCAGGGAGAGCCTCCGGGAGCCGGACTTGGACCACTACAGCGCCATTATTATGGACGAAGCCCACGAGAGGTCGCTGAGTACGGATGTCCTCTTCGGGCTGCTGAGAGAGGTGGGTGATAATAATAATAATAACAAGCGCGTGTCTTTACTTATGATGCAACAAGTAAAGGCACTTAAGTCTTAGTTATCATCGATTTATTAAAGTTAAACCCTTCAATAAACTTGACAACTTTACATATAAAAAATAAGTCATCATGTCCATATAAAAGAAATAAATAACACAGTCTTAGGAGGTAATACTAAATTAACTTTAACTTATATCTAGGTGGTTATTTAGCTGTCAGACTCCTGATTTTTAGGAAGAACGTGCCGGTGTTCCACCTTAATCCGTCTGTAATCTGGAAAAAAATGATTATGATAAAATTGAGACTTTGCATGTTATTTATTGTTTTTTTTTATCTCGTGAAGAGTATTCAGTCGGTGATATGGCGCCGAAAGTTATCTGTCTTATCACTTTATTTTTTTCACACGTAATTTGTTATCTGATATTGTTGTGGTGCAACACTTGTGCTCAATAATAATGCAAACCGTATACTGGAATCGAGTGGTTTATCGTCCATTTGATTATGATTGAGTTTGGGTAAATTAATTCGAAACTGTGACTCTGGAACTACAATTAGTAACGCACTGAGTCAGTTGGTCGAGATTAAATACGTGCACATGTGCACAGTTTCGTTGATTTTCTGAATAAACACGGATTTATCATGACTGAGTTAGCAAAAACTGCAATACGTCTAGTTTTTAGTTTTAGCAGCGATCAAGACAAAGCAATAAAAATTATTTTTTAAATTGAAATGGTTGTAATTTTTAATTGTGTAAATTGTACAGAGTTTGCAAATGTGAACGAACTTTACTAATGAATGTCATTACAATTAATTGAAAAGAAATTGCTTAAAATTGCAATTTGTTGTAGTTTGTGGAAACGCCACACTTTACTGTGTATCTCGTCAGTATTAGAATTCTACCTATTTCAGAAAAAAATTAAAGTGCGCTTCGTCACAGAATTTTTTTATCACTCATGTGACAATTTGTGATAATAAATTAAATTTCTTTGTCACTGTACGTAAATAAATGTGATATTGAAATCCAAACAAAAGCACTACAAAAAAGAAATTATAGCAAAACCAGTTCATTGTCAAGATAAAATGTTTAGGCTTTGCCAGTGTGAAGTTGATTGCAGTATGTAGAAATTTTCAAATTCTTTGATAGATTTAACTACACAGGATATTTCAACTTAATTGATAAAATGCTTAAGTCGTTTTCATCCTAATTTCATCATTGTTGTCTAAGTCGCTTGTGACCGCTTTTCGACAATTATGAAACAATCCGTTCATTAGAAATTATGATGAACCGATTGTTTAAAGTACTTTTGGGAGGGATTTTAATTGACACAAATTTACATTGTATATTACTGAATACAAAAATTTACACAAAATACGACGTAAATAAGCATGAATAAGGATTTTTTAAATTTTCCTTTAAACAGAAAATTGTGCTAAAACACTTTTTCATTCCGAAGATTATGTTCAGAATTTTTGTTATTGTATACATAATATATGACGTTGTATGCATACATATGTAAATTGTTTCTTTGTAATATCTTGAAACAGTAGGAGATCCGGTTAAATAAAAAAAAAAAAACCGCTAATTTGAAGGAATTAATATTAATTTACAACATATCTGAAATACCTGAATACGTCTAGAATTTTTGGAGCAATAGTTTAATATCAAAATATTACTTATATATATTATTTATATACATATCCATGATTTTAAGAGTCAATTTTAGGGTAAAAACAAATAAAATAAGTATATGTAACTAACAAAAACTTAGATAATGAATGTTTTTTTTAATAAATCAATTTTTACCTTGACATTTATTTATTTTTTTCATTTTGTAATCTCATTCCGGAAAAATACTATAGGATGATAGAAAAATAACCTATTTGTTCGATGGTACGTTGTTAAGAAGGCGCTGCAGAACTCAAAAGAAATGGTTACTCAATTTTTGAAAACATTAAACTTCAAAACTGAAAAATTAACTTCGTATTTTCGATAAAAATTGTCAAAAATACTATCTCAAATAACGTGAATCGTATTCTTGTAAATTATTATTAAATTATTCATAACTAATTGTTTAAATGTCTATTAGACGATTGAACATTGTTAAATCTTCAAATTTAACGTCCAATATTTTCAAGTTTGGTGCAGGAATTTTTGCAACCATTTTTTTGGAGTTCTTTAAAGCGTTCTTAACACCGTAGTATCGAGCACTACATCATTTTTTCATCACCCTGTATAATTATTTTTTTTAAATTTAAATTGAAATTTTTTCTTTTGGAGAAGGAAGAATGTAAGTAGACGTCTATTTAAGAGCTATGATTTTCCCGACGTTTTGACTTCTATTTTACAAAGCAATGTATCTAGTTTATTTGTTTCTGAAAATAACATTAAATTGGCTTTATAAATCTATTGTTACCTTTATGTTTTCTTAGTTGTAGCCGAAATTCTTATAGTTTCTGTACAAATTTGACACTTAAATATTTTATATGTAGTCATTTCAAACATGCCTCGATGCTCGAGCTGCAAATTCCATACTCAGTCTTCATAACTGCATTGTCATCACTTGATATACACATAATCAATTGCATTACGGATAGGAAAAACCATTTTGAAATCGCATTGTATTATAGAGATACTAATTTAAAATTTTGGTTTTTATTTTTAGTTAATTTCTAGATTAGCGCAAAGTTTATAATACTGAATAAAGAACATCAGTTTTGTTCGATGTTCAAGTGGCAACTTCACAGGTGTATGATGAATCTTTAGTCACACCAATCAAAATTAGTTTATTTTTTTATTTTTGGATATCATGTTTTTAAATCGAATTAAATGATATAGTTAAAAAATTACTTAATGAATCGTTAGAGCAATAAAAACAATTGGAAAACAGGAGTCGTAGTGCCAAAATTTGCCGCACGTCCTTTCAGAACTTATACTTAGTTGTTGCGGAATAAAACGAAGGTTTGCATTATCACCGAGCCGCTTAATTTAATTTGAGGAAAAATATTTAACGATTACTGGAACCAGTCCAGACATTGTAGCAAAAAAACAAAAGTGTTTTTCAGACAATAAAAAATAAGTTAATTACAACGTCAAAAACATTTGAATCATCTGAACTTGAAAATAGTACGTCACTAATTGTGCAATTAGTCGCTAAAGATTCCAGGTGCTGCCAAATTCGACGCACGTGAAAAAGATCAGAGATGTGACGACGTCAAATGTCAAACATGACGAATCTGTTATTTCTGACCGCGTCGACGACAAACCGCCAATAATAAACCGAAGATCAAAAGCGATTTTCCCCGTATTTGTTTCTTATTACAACAAATTGCGTTAATTTGGTAATGCGTCGTAGACGTTAAACTGGGTGGTTTGTTTATGAAACGTCACTTCTGACACAATTAACATAATTAGATTAACTTAAGCTTTTGTTTTCCGCTACGTCTCTGGCTCCCGCGACCTTCAACTTGGCGTCAAACATTGCACAAATTGACTTGCAAATGACTTTTTTCAACGGTTACGATAATTTTTTCAGGGGAGACCTTGACGTTTATCACGGCACGAAAATTGCTTATCGTTTATCACAGTCCAGTTAACGTCGCGACAATTTCGAGAATCTAATCTTTCATTGTTCGTGCGATTGTTCTTCTTACTAACCTTTCTCATCCTAACGTTGGTAGCGACAGGTCCGTATCGACAATAGTAGGCGAAATGCTCGGTGTTGTGCCACTTCCTTTTGGAGTTTTCGGCTGCTGTGATTTGACTTCGGACCACGTCTTCGGCCAATGGAGTTTCCGTTTTGTCGGATTTGTTGTTGATTTTGACGGTGGTCCCATCGGGCCAAAATTCGATGAGCTTGCAGGGCAGGACTTTGAATTTGCCCTTGCATTCGGTGATGGTGTAGATGGTCAGGTACTCAGGGTTCTTGCTTTTTTCTGCAAAATATACACAGTGCAGGATTTTTAGATCTTTTTGGCTGAAAAAGAAGGTTCCCGTTTCCGTCTGTCTGCCATTTGTGGTCTGTGATTTTACTAGATAAATAATTTCCGAAACTACTGGAAGGATTGTTGAAAATTTTCGTTTATTTCAACATTTCCCAAGTAAATCCTACTTAAATTTTTATAAAATGACATGCTGTAGTTGTTGTTTATTATTCCGCCCTTATTTTTTACCGTAGACAGCGACATTTTGAAAAAACAATCAAAATTCTTAAATAACATTGCTCTGAAATTTTGCAGTGTTTTGAGGTCATCGTAAACATGAAAATATATACACTTGTAGTCTATAAATCCATTGATATTTTTTCCAATGGCTTATACAGGGTGATCAAAAAAAAAATGAATTAATAAATTAACATATTTTATTGGTTAAATCAAAAGTAAAATGTTACATAAAATTGGAATTCTCCATCTTTAAAAATGGTGGAGCTGTTAATGTTTCAATATTTTTAATATAAAAAAGCAAATATTTTGAATATAGTTGATCAAAAAACCCTCGTGTCAACTTCTTTTTTCTTAAATAACATTTTTATATTTATAAAAAGTATATAGTATGTTCCATCTAAAAAAGTTAAACTTTAATGTTTAAGAGGAAAATCCTGTATGTTTGAAAATATAGCCCTAACTAAACGAATTATAATAACTTTCGTCCACAATTTTTTTGTCGCCTTGTCGCTATTTTGAGCATCAGATCCCACTGTTGCACAAAAGTGAAGCATTTTATTTCAAATTTCATCTTTACAGTACTTCCCGTGTGTAGGCTGTCTTCTAGAAATAGATCACTTCTGAAATTACTGGACAATTTGTTGTGAATGTTCTTATGTACTTTCCGAACAAAAATTTGTCTGATCATCCCAATCAACAGTTTGATGACGTCATCATAAACCTTTGCGTAGTAAATCGTAGGTATTTAAATTTTATAAAATATTTCTAACTAGTGGTTTATTAGTCCACTCTTATTTTTACCTTTCACATTTAGGTTAAAAAAAATGTACACAAAAATTGACGTCATCTCAAAATGTTGCTAGATAAATCTAAAACGTTTAAAATCTTATGTGTCTGCATTTGTGGCTTATGAATGCATTTATATTTTTTTACAACGGCTTACACAGGGTGACTCATAAAAATAATTAATTAAACAATTTATTTTATTGATTAAATAAAAAATCCTGTTATGGAAAATTCCAAGTCTCTATCTTTAAAAATGGTGGAGCTGTGCATTTTTTAATATGACTATTTTTTAAATTAATAAATTTCGTTAAGAATTTTTTTAGCCCTCTTGTTTGTATTTTGAGCGTCAGATCCCACTGTTGGACAAAAGCGAAGGCATTTTATATAAAATTTAGTCTTTACGAAATGTTTACTTTCCGAGCGTAAGCTGTTCTCCGTACGTAGATAATTTCCGAAATTACTGGACCGATTGTTGTGAATTTTTTTATGTACTTTCGGAATATAGCCAACAAAAATTTGTTGAATCATCCCAATTAACAATTTGATGTTATCTAAAAATTTTGCGTTGTCAAACCTATTTAAATTTTACAAAATAATATTTTTATATTTGTGGTTTATTAATCCACCCTTAAAAAAAAAACAATTATACACAAAAATCGACGACGTCATCTCAAAATTTTTCTGGATAAATCTAAAACGTGTAAAATATGTGTCTGCACTTGTAGTTTATGAATGCATTGATATGTTTTACATTGGCTTATACAGGTGACTCAAAAAAAAATTAATTAACCAATTTATTTTGTTGATTAAATCAAAAATCCTGTTATAACAAATTCCAAGTCTCCATCTTTAAAAATGGTGGAGTTGTTAATTTTTCAATGAGAATGCAAATATTGTGAATAGTATTGATTAAAAAACCGTTGTGTCAATGTCACTTTTCCGTTTTTTAGAAAATATTAGTCCTAACTAAGCGAATTATAATAAATTTCGTCAAGATTTTTTTTAGAATTCTTTTAATCGCCTTGTTTGTATTTTGGGCATCAAATCCCACTATTGGACATTTTATATCAGATTTAAGCTTTACAGTATTTTTACTTTCCAAGCGAAAAATGTTCTCTGTATACCGATAATTTCGGAAATTATTGGATTGATCCTTGTGCGATTTTTTATGGACTTTTGGAGTATCGCTAATAAAAATTTGTCTGATCATCCCAGCCAACAATTTGATGACGTGTCATCTAAACTTTTGCGTCGTAAATCCTATTTAAATTTTACAAAATAATATTTCTATACTTGTGGTTTATTAATCCGCCCTTATTTTTTACTTCCACATCTAGGTTTTTGGAAAACACCAAAATTGTATACATAAATTGATAACGTAATCTTAAAATTTTGCTAAGTAAATCGTTTCTAAAATGTGTAAAATATTATTGTTGTCATTCATCAGTGCACCTATATTTTTTAGAACAGTATATACAGGATGTTTAAAAAAATAACGAGGAAATTTATTTTATTTATTGGATCAAAACCGGCCTGAAATTCCAGAAACGCAATGTTGGTGTTATTGGTTTTACACTTTACCTATCGAAAATAATACATATATTTGTCTCTACTAAAAAATTGATGACTTTTTTATTCACTTAAGGGTTACAATAGAAAAATAAAAAATTCGCAGTATCAAAATTTTTACAAGTAACTATAGCTTTAGAACTATGCTATTTTTCGCATATATTTAAGAATCACCCTGTATATCACCTATCAGTTACAGTAAAAAAATGAAGATGTTATTGAATTGAATTGAAAACACGAACGAATAAAATTATAATATTATAAAATGAGTGCATTTATTTTCAAAGAGGACTGTTATTGTCGATGAGGCTAAATAATGGCTTGTTTGTTTTTCATAAAAAAAATACCGCAAAAACCACAGTCGGTTAAAAACTGACTTGCGGTTCTTTTTCGAAGTATATAATGATAAATAAACTGCATTAAACCGTTCTAGATTTCTTCATTTATCTTTGAAGTAATTCATCTAAAACATTGGATTTGTTAGTGTTCTTCAGAGGCGTGGGAAGTTCTGGCTAAATAAGCTTAGACCATGTATGTCCAATTTGAAATATAGATTTTTTCAGTCTTAACAGTGTAAAATGCCCTTCAAAATTTATTATTTCTTGAATAAATACAACAAAAGCGCCTCACTTTCCTAACCGCCTTTAAATTTACACGACACTGCGAAGTTAATCATTAGGTAACATTAAAAAAAACCTGAACTTGGCGTAATCGCGATTATAAATTTGGCAAGACGACACGACTTTTGGCGCGCTGTCCAGGCCAGGACTTACCGTAGCTAGGGGCCCAGATGGCGACCCCGTACCTGGTGACATCCTCCTGCTTCTGCTCGATGATGAACCCCGACTCCACCACGGCACAAAAAATGTTCATTTCGGCGTGCGTGAACCACTTGGATTCGCGTAGCTTCTGGCCTATGACGAAGCTGCCGGTCCTCTTCACGGGGTCGTGCCGCATCTGGAACATGCCGCAGTTGCTGTTGATCTTCAGGTTGCCGTTGCTGGTGGAGATCTTCGGGGAGCCGTTACTCGTGCTGTTCGACCTGTCTCTTCGGCTCTGCTGCCTGTTGAGATGGATGTTGGCCAGCGTCTCTGTCATCATGATTGCAGAAAAAATTAGCACTTTCGGAGCGCAAGCGGCGGTTCTAGGTGTATCGCATCCACTGATATGTTTATGTCGCTTGTTTAGTATACAAAGACCGTACGAGTGCTTTATCTGCGAGATAATGGATTGTTGTAAATATCGCCATGTGATTCTCGGCGAAAATTGCGCGGTTCAGGTGCGTGGAGGAGCGTCGGCTCGCCGTTGCACAACACGGACGAAATGTAAACAAATTGCACTGGAGTTTCGGAGCAATTACGTCGACGGAGGCAAAAACTTCGACAGAGCTTGTGTGCGAAGTTTTAAAATAGAAAAAGTGACGAGCGCGAGCGGCAGGCGCCAATGCGGATAATTATCAGTGGCGGCGCGGGTGGGGGCGGGGTGGGCAATTGAGGAAAATCACAAAAATTAGTATGGTTCGAAGCAATGTCGGACCGAAAATAATATCACTAATTGGTGCGACAGATTTTTGTAGTTTGATTATTTTTCACTGATTGTGTGTATCAAAATCTCTAACATGTAATTAAATAAGAGATTACGAGCTTGTCGAAATCAGATAGAGATAAAAGCGAAAACTGTACACGTGAAACTATAAATTTTGGAAAAATATAGACCAAGTTTCTACATTAAAGTCAGCTATTTTTTGAAATCCTACTGCCCTTTCAACAGTTGAAGTTGATTTATTTGAATTAATTGATTTAAATATTGCGCAGATCATAGTTTGCTCATTTTTAATAATAATTGCTTATACAATGAGATCAGACTGTTAGCTTATGTATTGTTTTATCAACTTTCAAGATGAAGGTCAATAGTGTTAAGATAATTTATATGATATCACCAGTGCTTTGACAGCTTGAATAACTGAAAAAAGTAGTAGATATTACTGTATGATAAATACATTCAGTATTTATGGAAAAGAACTACAGAAAAAAAAATTTTAATGTTAGATAAGCGTTAATTGTGGGAGTCATTAATAGTTATACAAAAATATACAACAGATATAATTTTGCTTTTAAACTATGACGTTATAATTTTTTTAGACAGAATAACATACATTTTCTGCATATTTGAATAGTTCACATTCCATGGTCTTATCTTTTAAGTTTTGTAGGTATGTACTTGCGTACAGTTCAACTAAATTTAATAGCATATTAACCGGCGATAAAAAATAACAAGGACAAACGTACTAATCGCCAAGCTTTTAGAGTCCTTAAATAATTATATTTGGTAAGCTTTTAATTAAGATTCACTTCTTGTAGTTTGGTGTCGATAATAATATCATTAAAAAATTTTCGCGTCTACACTTTCCGTGTAATAAAATTTGGTAACTTAAACATTTGTTGTGTCATTTGTGCGGTTATCAGGAGTATTACATGTAGGTTTAACTCTAATAAAAGTATCCAAAAGCAACAGGAAGTGTCTCATTTTATTTCATAATAATGCATATGCATGCAACAAGTGGGTTAAAAGCGTTATTACCGCCTTAAGTGTCAAAGCTTGCTCACAGTGAGGTGCTAACCGAGCACAACAAAGTTTTAGGGCACGTGTAACGTAAAATTTTTATTTATAACTTCAGAAATTGTATGAAAATGTATTAGAAAGTGAATGAGATAAAAGTGTGATAAAAGTGCTGTCACTTACGAGTGTAAAGTTTGCTGACCGAGTTGTGTAATCATTAGAGTATCGACTTCAATTTTATTTGTGTTAGAAAGTGATTGTGGAAAAATCTAACTTATTACCTAGCAAAAATCAGTGGGATAATTTTAATTTTGTTCGAAAGATACTGTGTAACGTGCCATTGCTTATATATTGAATTTATGAGGAGTCCGCTGTAAATTTTTATGAAGTTACAGTCGTAAACGCACTATATCTTTGCCGAACTTTAATAACTGTGTATTTTCAACACATTTTCAGAATCTTTAAAAATCAATGTCTCAGTTATTTATGGAAATTTCGGAACGCGGTTTTCATCACGGTGTGGAGGCTGGCAAGTCCCAGAAAATTGTATAGTATTTGTATATAATTTGTATTTAATTACTTCCAACCAGTATCACCCCGAAACTTTCTCTTCGTCCACCTGCATGTCGTAAAACCTATCTTTTGTTCACCCTTCCCAGTAATACTTAGGCCCGGTTTTACAATGCAAGCTTAAGCGAGGTTCAAAGATAAGCCTTGGTTCAACTGCAGTTGTCCGTTTTACAATACATAGTTCAATGTTAAACCGCGCTCAAACGAAGGCTCAGCTGAGCGCTGATGTCAGGGTGGTTTAAGCTTCGCTCAACTGTCCATAACCTCAAACGTCTGTGCTTTATCGTTTTGGTGGTGTGACAGCATTATAATTGAAGATGCAAAATTTATTAGGAGTATTTAACTGACGATGAAGACGTTTTAGAAGTGATAAACATATTAGAACCGGCACGTATGCGACGACCAAAAGTTTTTCAATTGAGAGAAAATCACTTTGAAAAGTGAAATGCTGGGGAATTTTTTAAACGATTTCGTTTTTCCAAGACTGGCGTACGGTTTATTTTGCAACAAATACAGGAGCAAATTACATGGCGAACGGAAAGAAATCATGCAGTATCATCGGAGCAAATGCTACTTGTGACTTTACGTTTCCTTGCCACTGGATCTTTTCTGCAAGTTGCTGGTGACTTTATAGGGATTAGTAAAGCAACAGCTTCTCAAATAATTAATGTTTTGGGGTGTGGAAAAGACGCTTTCCAGCATTGGCTTTTGGAATTCGTTTAAAAATGTGTAAAGTAGAGGCAGTGGTTGTGGCAACAGCAGTTTTACACAACATTGCAATTATTTTAAATGAAAAATAACCGCCAGTGGACGCAGAAGAAGAAGCAGCAGTGAATTTTGTGAACGATGTTCTAATTGAAAACATTGGAGAATATAGTGGCAATTATAATCAGAACAATTTTGTACGGAACCAGTTCATCAGAGAATATTTTACTAATTTGCATTTTTTGATTTTGTTTTTAGTTGCAGTAAATAATAAAATGTAATGTAATTATTTATTTAAGTTTTATTATTTAAAATATTAAATTTTTGGGCAATTAATATTTCAATCTTCATTTGGTGTTCTTTCTTGATTACTTCTAATTCAACTGCAGCTTTGTCTCTCATAATTTGCATTTCTAATTCATGTTTCTCTTTCATGGCTTTTAATTTAAACTCTTGCTCCTTTTGGATGTATTCCTTTCGACTTAGTTCGACAAGTTCTTTGGCAGCGGCCCATTGCTCTAACTTATCACTTGTCTGGTTTCCTTTACCTATACAAACAATACATTAATAAAGTTTTAAGACAAGTGGCAAACATTTTTTAATATAAATATATATACATATAATACCTCTATGATATGGAGTGAGTGCTGAAGATTTTTTTTGCTTCAACATTTTGGGGGTGTATTTAGCCCAATTCCCAGTTTGACCATTTTCTACAAAAATAACCATAGGTACAAGTCAAAACTAATTATTTGATTATTATTAATGTTTACCACTTTCTTTATTGGGACAACTTATTTTATCCATAACAGGCACTTCTCTCGACATTGCTCCAGTTTGATCTTTTGGCATAAAACAATCTGAAATAAATAATAATAAAGAAAAAATAGTAAAAGATTTCTGAACAAAGTGTATGTAAGAATAAAAAGTATTTACCATCATTTTCGTCATCAGAGAGATTATACATTGATGTACATTGTTCTTCCAAATGGGCAGGCGTGGTGATGAGACAACCAACATTTATCCCGCCGTTACTTTGGAATGCTGAAAAGCATCAACATTTTAATTTTACAATACATATTATTCATAAAAATACTTCTTACAGGTTGTTTCGGAATCGCCATCAAATTCGCTGCTATGCCCCATTAGTCTGGCCCCGAGAATTTCTTTTACAGCCACATCAACATCGGTGACCTCAATACTTTGTTGTGACCCTCCCCCAGTACCACCGACATAGGCTTTCTCGTCAGCAAATTTTTTCGTTGTCCTCTTCTTAATGCTATCGTACTTTTTTTTCAAAACTTTGTGGTCCCGGAAGGTCGGGCCAGATAAAGAATTGAACTCTACTTCAATTTTCTTCCAACACTGATTTTTTTTTTGATTTGCATCAGTGTTGGACAATTTACACTCCAGAATATTTTTATACTTGCTCACTAAAGATAGGAGCAGGTTTTCTTCGGATTTTGTAAAATTCGGAGCACGTGTATTACTCATCTGAAACGAAATGTTAAAACCATCATAATCATCTACTTTTAAGGAGCAAATGTTATATATACAAATATACGTACCCCACAAACGCAGAAAACTAATTACTTTGCAGAATTTACCACAAATAATTTATAATAATGTAAACAACTTCGAATCGGCGTACACAAATAATGACAACAAAACAGACCCAACGTGGTCTCAACTGTCAGATTCTCGGGTGCGCGCTACCAACCTAAGGAAATTTGTGGCTCAGCTGAACCGGACGATAGCGGTGTTTGTAAAACGGACGCATGAATTGAACCTCAGTTCAGTTGAACTCAAGTTCAGTTGAACTCGTGTTGAACCGGACATTTGTAAAACCGGGCCTTATCCTTCCAAGATTTCGAGTACCTTCCTAGAACTCTTTTGACACAACTGTTTTCCATAAATAACTGATATACTGATTTTTTGTTTAAAATATGCGTTGAAAATCTCATACAATTACGGAATTAAAAAAAGTTATGGTAAACCATTTTTGACAAATTATATTTAAAATTTCATAACAATAAGTCTATTAATAATGGAGATGTTATAATTCTGACTATGCATTGAACGTCTCGCAACAGAAAAACGTAAAGAATGGTCTTAAATAACACTGTAACGGTAACAGGTAATAATCACGATAGGGACGAACTTTTAAAATTTCAATCCGCCCTCCTACATTTTCAACAAACCATAGTAATGCAAAAAATATTTTCGGATTTTTGCTTTTCCTGTGTCCAATTTAAAAAGAAAAAAAAATGTGTTTGCTTTAACATTGTTTTCGAATATTGTGTTATACTTTATACTAGACAGTCTTTCTAAAAACTTTTCAAAAATCTGAAAAAAAATAGTGTCGTAAGTATAATTTTAAATGTACCATATTAGAGCTAGGATATTAAGAACGGATAAAAAATTTTAAATTTGGAAAACGGAAAATTTTAGTTTATTTTTGGAAATTTTCCTCATGGTTTTTGCCACTATAGAAATTTAGACACTGGTCAGGAAAGATTGTTGATTTTTTTTCGGAAAGGAAATAAGTAAAAAAAATTGAAACTCGATAATATTTCATGCGTAGTGTCTAGAGTTCTGTAAACTGAAAACAGTGGCGAAAACGGCGTTCCGAAATACGTGTTAAAAAATTTCAACAAAACTAAAAAAATCACAATGGAGATGTGGTGGGTGGGCGGGGACCATATTTTGCCTTTTTTTTAATATACATAGTATTCTTAGAACAACACGATACTCAAAAACGTATTTTTTAATTTCTTATAAAGAAATAAGTATTTTCCAGTTAAGCTCCGGCGAATAAAAAAAAAACATCACAATTGAGATAGGGCGGGTGGGCGGGGCGTATATTTTTCCTTTTTTTTTTTTTAATATACACAGCCATCTTTTCACAAGAAACTTAGAACATGGTTAAAATGGCACATTTTTGCAAGGAAATGTGGATTTTGCAATTATGGGGTGGAAACTAATTGCAAAATCGATATTTCCCTATACAAATTTTCCATTTTAAACATGTTTTAAATTTCATGTTGTGAAGAGAATTCTACACATATTAAAACAAAAAGGCAAAATGTAAGCCCGCCCACCCGCCCTATCTCAATTGGGATGATTTTTTTTATGCACCGTGAACAAAGGGGACAGAGCTTAACTGCAAAATACTTATTTCTTTACAAGAAACTAAAAACATGTTTTTGAATATGGTGTTGTGCAAAGAATACTATGTATATTAAGAAAAAAAGCAAAATATAAACCCCGCCCACTCTCCCCATCTCAATTGTGATGATTTTTTTTATTCTTAGAAACTTAAAACACGTTCAAATTGTATTTTTTTAAGGAAACATGGGTTTTACAATTAGGCTCCGCCCCTAGTTCGGCCAAAGAATGAAAACTTCATTACTATTTGGATCAGGGCAGGTATGGGAGAGGCTTAATTTTTGGCTTTAATTTTTTCTTAATATGTATACATAGGAATTCTATGAATAACACGAAACTCAAAAACATGACTTACTTGGTAATTTCTTGTAGAGAAATAATAACGATTTTGCAATTAAATTCCACTGCCTTGGCTCTCGATGAATAAAAATAAATAATCACAACTGAGATAGGGCGGGTGGGCGGGGCTTATATTTTGCATTTCTTCTTAATATACGTAGTCGTCTTTTCAGAACATGAAACTTAAAACATGTTTAAAATGGTAAATTCTTTAGACAAATTTGGATATTGCAATTAAGCCCCGCTCCTCGATCTGACAACAAATGAAAAATTCATGACAATTGAAAATTGAGGTCGGGGCGGGTATGGGTGGGGCCTAATCTTACATTACATTACATTTTGCCTTTTTGTTTTAATATGTGTGAAACTTAAAACATGTTTAAATGGAAAATTTGTGTAAGGACATATCGATTTTGCAATTGCGTTCCGCCCCATAATTACAAAATTCATATTTCCTTGCAAAAATGTTTTAAGTTTCTTGTTGTGAAAAGATGGCTATGTATATTAAGGAAAAAAAAGGCAAAATATAAGCCCCGCCCACCCGCCCTATCTTAATTCTGATGATTTTTTTTATTCGTCCTAAGCTGAGGGGCGGAGCTTAATTGTAAAATCCTTATTTTTCTACGAGAAATTACTATGTGAAATATATTCTTAAGTAATCGTGTTATACAAAGAAAACATAAGTGTATTCATTGAAAAAGAAAACCAAAAAAGAAGCCCCATCCATTTTATTGTAATTTTTCATTTCAGGTTTCGCAACTGTCTTTAGTTTACAGAACTCTAGACAATACCCAGGAAACATCTTTTTTTTATCGGAAAGGAAAATGTCTTAGAGTTCTATAAGCTGAAAACTGTAATGAAAACCGCGTACTGAAATATTGATTTTTAAAATACGGGATAACAAATTTCAACAAAACTTAAAAAAAATGTTGATGGTAAACTGTTTTAAAAACACTGCCATTGTGTTATTTATGGCAATTTGTGGACAAATTGTATTTAAAATTTCATTCTGACAATTGAAACAACGGGGCCATATTAATGAAAAAATATTTTTGGATTTTTTGCTTTTACTGTTTCTTATTTAAAAAGAATTACAAAAATAAATTTTGAAAAAATTATATTTGCTGTCACACTGTTTTTAGATATGATGTTTTATTTACTATATAGTGTCTCTTAAAACTTTTCAAAAATCTAAAAAAAAAACCTGCCGTAAGTGTAATTTTAAATGTGTCATAGTGTCATATCTATGTATTTTTTTTTTAATTAGATATCGTATCTTAGAATGTTCTCCAAATAAAATATAAAATATTTTATAAAAATTATAAAATATATTTAGTATTTATTATATCTTGTACATTTGTAATACAACTACGGTATTATAGTTTTGTAAAAGTTAAAATTTTTATCTAAACTAGATAGGTGTCCCAGTTAAAACACCGCATCTTGAGAATTCTGTCAACGCTGTTGCTTTTAGCCTAAAGGGGAAAGCGTAATTTAGAGCATTGCAAATGATACACATACGGCGTCAGATTTGCGACGCAAACGTATTTTCCTTTAAATTGCATATTTTTGATACACGATTAAATTGCGATTACTGTTGTTGGTTTTAACTAAAATCACACACATGGTAGATCTTTATAGACCATGAACAAGTTTAGCCTCCTTTTTATTTGAATTTAACAGTGATTAAAATATTGTAATGAGAGAGCAATAAAAACACGATAAAAGGCAGCCATGGATTTTTGCCAGTTTGTCTTTAATCATTGCATTTTCAAGTCAAACTTTCAAATTGATGGTAATCTGACAAGACGAAAGTTCAATCAAAGACAAATCCTCAAAACCCATGGCTGTCTTTGATCTCGTTTTTTATTGTTTTCTCGGTATAATACTCCATAGTTCCAAATGTTTGGTCTAAAATGTGACACTTCGTGTTTTGCCGTAAATGCACACAATTTTATTTTTAAATTTGAGTTTTTCTTGTCGCTCAGAAGTAACTTGACAATCAAATTTGTTTTCAAGACATTGTAAAACCCAAAGTAGGCCTTAATGTAGTAATTTTTGATAGAAATGTTAAAATTAGTAAGATATATAGTATATTTTTAAAAGTAGGGAAGGTAAATACACTCGAATGTTAGACAATTATTGAAATGGGCTGTACTAATGAGACCAAATGAGCTCGAAAGTACAACTTTGCATTGAATTAATTAGCCATTAGTCTAGCCATTCAGTTGGTAATTTTGATAATTAATAATTAATTTATGAACTATATTACGTACTCTGAACTTTGCTTTCACATAATAACAAACGTCAAAAATAGCGACGAATTACTTTTTTTAGTAAAGGATTTAAAAATATCGAGTGGGTTTCATTTAAATATGCACATGTAAATTTTAACAGTTTGTATAATATTGTTACTGTTAAGTAACAACTTTCAAGTTTTTTTTTTTGTGAACTACAAAGAATTATTCACTAATCACAAAATGCAGATTTAGAAATGTTTGGATCTTTTTATTTTTTTTTCTGAGATCATTTAATTTTTAGCTTGTTCTTTTTTGTCACAGACGGCGTCAGATATTGAAATGTCAAATAACATTGATAACAACAATCATAACAATACTAATAACAAATTAAAATTTAAAGTTTCCCATCCTACCCAGCATAAATCGTCACCGGCCGCCACTGATAACAACCAGTCAAACATACTATCATACTTTCAACAATATACGGCGTGCTTATCGCGGGATTATCGCGCTACTGTTTAAGAGCTCCTCCGAGGCGCCTGTGCGTTTCACGAAATAAACAAAAACAGCCCCCTGCCGACTTCGCCGATTAGTTCTGACGCTGTTCGCGAGAGCGACAGAGACGGACTCACGTTTCGGACATCCGAGCGTCGCATGTGGGAGGGGCGGCAGATTTCCAGCGTGGAAATGTAGCGGACGAAATTTTACGGTCAGCGGCTTTTCTTTGATGCTTATTTTTTTCTAATTTTGTTGTGTCGGAATGGCAACCCACTTAATTGGGCAAATAAAAAATAATAGTACGCGATCCGAGTCGTCCTTCGTCTTATCAGCGTTGTGAAATTAAGGTTGCACTTTTGTTGTTTGATGTTGCAATCGCAATCTGAGTGTTATCTGCAAGAGCGGGCTTTTGCAGATATCGGGGTCTTGAGTGTGTAACAGGTATTTAATGGATGGGTTGTTGTTGATTTAACCCGAGTCCGTATTTAAAATAACACCAGATGATAAATGGCGCTGAATCTGGTTAATGTGGTGTGGATGTTTAATCCTAATGTGTACACATGAGGCCTGTGTTTTAAAAATAAATGAACTGCTTAACAATACATTGACACTATCGTTGTCCGGAAGTAATATTGCGTACTTCTCTGGTTTCATTACCATTGAATAGGAAAGGGGTTTTAACGCGAGAGCTAGACAAGTCTTTAACACGAGGACGCATTGTACATTTTTCCGAATTAAAATTCTAGTGTAAATCCTTTAAGGATGTTTGTTCTAGTTACGCTTTGAAAGTTGGGAACTACCCATCGTCTGTTATTGCTATGGAGCGGTTTATCAAGCTAAATAGTGCTCGGTACGCTACAAAAAGTAATTAAACTGATAGTTGTTAAAATTGGCGTTGAAGATTAATTTGCACATGAATCATATTATCAATATAGGTGTGCATATGTCGCAATTAATTTGAAACTGTAACAACTAAGAGGCGTCCCACACCACGTGACTTGCAAAATAAAACCTAATGCTGGTCCAAAGACCAAAGTAGGATTTATAAACTTGCTTTTGAC